GAACCATCTGGCTGGAGAAGTGGCACTGGGCCCTCTGACCCCAGGTTCTTACCCCTTTTCTGCATGGTCTGCCTGATTGGCCAACATCAGGCCTGAGACTCTGAAGCTTTTAAAAAGCTCATTTATGCCCGGCACGGTGGCACACACCTGTAATCCCAGCAGCTTGGAAGGCTGAGGCAGGAAGATCATAAGTTTAAAGTAAACCTCAGCAACTAAGTGAGACCCTGTCTCAAAAAACAAAGGGGTGGGGTAGGGAATGGGGATGTAGCTCAGTGCAGAAGCACCCCTGGGTTCAGTCCTCAGTAATACACGTACATACATGCGCATGCTGGACTCACTCAATCCACTTCTCTTCCTTCCCAACTGGAGCAGAAGAGTGACTGACCCTAGATTATGCCCTTGGACTTTTGGGAGCAGGGCGACAGAAGAGTCTGCTGTCCCAGGAGTCCTTGGTTTGGCTTCTGTGCAGGGTCTGCACTGGACTTGGGAAATACTGGCCCCAGAGTGCGCAGGGACAGGAATCCAGGTGCTGGGCTGGGGTGTGAGCTGGTTTGGGGCCACCAGAGTAATTTGCAGTGGCCCTGGTCTGTTGCCCTTGGAAGGCACACAATGGGTAAGAGTCATTTCCATCCAGGTCTTTCCTCTTTCTTCATTTTGCCACAAGAAGGAATTGTATCACACATCTCCAAAACGAGTAAAATGGCATTTCAGCTTCTTGTCTTTATAGACTCTCTGAACTTTAGGAAAGATCATTCTGGTCCCTTTTCATTAATAATGAAAACCAGGGGGCAATAAAATGTTCTTAACGTGAGCCCAGCAGGAACGGAGCAGCAGTGAGGGGTGAAGGGTGAGCTGCAGGAACCACAGGTGTTTCTCGGGCCTGGGGAGGGCAGAGCTCTGACGAGGTAGGCAGGTGTGCAGGGGCCCCAGCTCCTGGCTCCCCAAGATGCAGTGTCTGCTCAGCCTTGGCAGCTCAGGGTCCCCAGGAGAAGGCTGCACTGCGTGAGGTGCAGTGGATATGTTTGCAAAGCAGCAGAAGCATCTAGCAAACTTGGGCTTCTGGTCCAAATTTTTTTGTTTTGTTTTGTTTTGATGCTGGGGATTGAACTCAGGGCCTTGGGCTTACAAGAGAAGCACTCTACCAACTGAGCTATATCCCCAGCCCCTCTGATCAAGTTTTTAACCTGGTTCCAGCTAATTTCTTGTTATTTAGAGGGTACCTGAGAGTCAGTGGTGCATGATTACTGAATGCAAGCCCCATGGGAAGGGGTTCTTTCTGAGGCTTTTGGCCACATGATGGACATCCTGGGTGTGGATTAAAGTCCTCCCAAGTGTGGCTTTCTCTAGGGATGGCAAGGCCACTCTGCCCTTTTTCCTCCTGAAAATGAACTGGTACCAGATGTTGAATTTTGCATCTGGCGCACAGCAAAGCTGGCTAGAAGAGAAAGCAGACGACGAAGTAAAGATCCGAGTGGGACTCCAAGGCCCAGGTCTCAGGGTCAGGGTGAAAGATAGTCTACCTCTGAGGTCTCAGAGCTTCCTGTTTAACAAGAAGTGGTTTGTGTGGCGTGGGGATGTCTGCAACAGGGCGAAGCCACACTCTCCACTTTCCAAGATGGATTCTCAGACTTGAATACCTTGCTGGTGTCACATAGCCTAGAAAGGGATTAGAGATTGTCCTTAACACGAACCCCAGCATGCACAAAAAAGTAGATTGGTAAATTTACATGAACACAAAAAATGCCTGCATGCCATGAAAGAACCCAAAGAAATATGAACCAGAAGCTGTGTATGATTTGTGTCATAAAGGGCTAACATCCCTGCTGTATTACAGAAGTGCTGAGGGAGAGAAGTCAAGTAGAAAAGTGGAGAACACACAGTACACCAGAAAGGAAATGCTGTTGAAGAGACGCCCGGTCCTCACTCAAAATAAGATCAACGCAAGCTAGAACCAGAGCGAAGCACCGCTCTCCTTCTGCCACTGTCAGAAATGCGTGTTTGACGACACACTATGTCGGGCTGCCTGTGGGGAAACAGCACCGGGTGCGTGGCTGATGGGATGAGTCCGCTGAACACCATGGAGGCCATTTTGTAGGATTTCTCAAATGACAGAGGCCCATGCCTTTGACCCATGTCCTAGGAAGTCTTAGGCTTACAGAAGTCTTGTCTTATATGGGAGCTGACACGTGTGCACAGTCACTGATGAGTTAGGTGCCCCCAGCAGGGAACAGGTTAAATAGAATATTATAGAGCTGTAGGAAAAAAAGAAAATTGGAAAATAGGTGGGAAAGAGGAAAACCAAGTCACATCTGTGTTGTCTTATATGTGTGTCAAACTCTCTGGAAGGATAAACAAGAAACCATTCTCCATGACTGGTGGTGGTAGAGAGGGAGACCTTTCTGGCTCCTGCTGTTGGACGTTGAAGCGGCGTGTGTGCTGCCTGACCAAAGAGGGGAAACAAAAAATGGGGGTTGAGGACTGGGAGAGGCCACGTGTGGATTACAGTTTTGTAACAAGGTGAGGCTGAGCCATGTTGGGGAATCTCATGTGGAATCCATAGGTGGAGGACAGAGGGGACTGTGGTGGCTAAGGAGAGATTCTTGTCTGTCCCCTCTGTCTCTTGAGAGCCCAGCGGCCCGGGGAGGAGGGGGTTTCCCTCTTGCCCACTTAAAGGTCTCTGAGACTCGAATCCCCCTGCTAGGCTGCATGCTGGCCACCCTCCCTCCCTGTGCACTCACCTCCTGCCACTGAGCTTAAAAGAGGAGTCCTGTTCCTCTGCTTTGGTCATCAAACACCAGGAGGGACAGGTAACCTCTGAGAGCTGGCAAGCACGGGTGAGAGAGGTAGAAGCAGAAGCACTCGGTGTCTCCAGGCAGCGCTGGCCGGGCAGTGGTGCTCCCTCTTAGAGTTTGGGGATGTTTCTCTTCCTTCCTCACCCTTTCTCAGATCACTCAGGGCCCCGCTTCCCTAGCACAGCAGCATGCATGGGGGTGCCCTCTGGTCAACTTCCCAGTGGCACTGCAGGCTCATTTCATGGCTGGCATGAAGCCTATGCCACCCAACATTCTGAGAACAGTAGCCCCTACCCCTCCTTTAATGACAGTCTCCTATGAGGAGGGAGGGTGTTTGCTAGGTGGCCTAGAGATAGCTGAGGGCGTTGGAGTGGACAGTGGTGCCTCATGGGATCAGATCATGAAAGCACTTTGTGAACTCTGTGTAGGGGAGTGCAGTCGGGAGATCTCTCCTGTGCACCTGGGGTGTCCCTCGGGAGCTGTGGGGACTCGGATGTGCTAGGCCCCCTTTTTCCATAGGGGAGGACTCCCAGTGGACGTCTGAAACTGTAGGTAAGACTGAACCTTCTGTATACAGTTTTTCCCCCATACATTCATATCTATGATAAAGTTTAATTTATAAGTTAGGCACAGTAAGATGAACAATAATGAAATAGCACAATTATAACAATATGTTATAATAAAAATTATCTGAATGTGTTCTCTCTTAAAATAATTGTGTCGTACCATTGATTTTAGCAAGCTCAGCATATGATTATTTTTCTTTCTGTATTGAGAACTTTTGCCACTAAAGGTTTTTCTTTGGCATATCCAGATTGCCAGCCTCACTACTTTTATGTTTTGGAGCCATTGTTGAGTTACATGGGGGTGACTTGAACGTAACCACTGTGACCGTGAGACGGCCGTCTGATAACCGAGATGGCTAAGTGACTAAAGGGCAGGTAGCACATTCAGTATGGCTGTGATGGACACAGTTGTGATCCACAAGCTAGGTGGGACAGGGCGGGACAGCTGAGGTTTCACCATGCTACTCAGAATGGTATGCAATTCAAATCTTGGGAATTGGGGTTTTTTTTGGAATTGTTCGTTTACTATTTTTGGACTACAGTTGACCACAGGTAACTGAAAGGGACGCTGCAGGTAACGGGGGCCCGCTGAAGGTAACGGGGGCCTGGGGGGTGTTGATCTAAAGGGAATTGGTTCAGGAACCAGTTCCTCAACAACAGCAGCAAATTCTTCTGAGATGGCTCCCAACTCCATTCCTTGGCCTCCATCCTAGCCCAGACCCTCTTTGCCTTTGTGTGTCCTTGCAGAGTTCTCCCCAGCTTTCATGCTTCCGGGGCTCCACTTGTGCCTTGTCCTCAGAGCCACCCACGCTGCTGTCCTAGAGCAGATCCCATCAGGACACTCACCCAGATCCTGCAGTGTCTCCCCCCTGCTGGTGAAATGGTGTTCAGACTCCTGGGCCCTGTCTTTTCCTTCCCACCCGCAGGTAGACTTGACTCCCTGTGTTCTCCTGGACACTCTTCCTGCAGTTCTTTTGACCAGAGCATCTCTTCTCCCCTGCTGAGGCCCAGGTGCTCATCAGGTCCACACTGACCCACTTTCTTTACTTGATGCCTGTTTTTCCCTTGTCCCCAGAACCACAGGTCTTGGTCTTTACCTCCTCCAAGACCCTGCTGACCCCTGGTCTCTTCCCCCCGCTACCCCCACAGGCACATGCCCTGGATAGGCTCTGTCACTCTGTGAAGTTGCCTTGCTCCGTCCTTCAGAGACTTGTGTCTTCTGTCTTTTCTCCCCAGCTCCATGTGAGAGCAGAGCAGGGAGGTCACCTTGGTCTGTGGTGCCCTCGATGATCTTTCTCTGGAGTAGGGCGTCTGCACATGTGGTTCTGTACACCAAGGTGTGTTCACGCCATCCTCACAGGGCCCTGCCTCCTGGCTCCATGCTGGTCACTCAGCTCACTGCTGCTGCATACCTCTGCCCAGCATGCACAGCTGAGGCCAGATGACTAGCTGTCTCTGCTGTCCCCAGTGAGGCAGATGGTTTGGAAAGCCTGGGAAGAGAAGGGGACAGAGCTGAACTGATACTTCTGACAGTCACAGCTATGTACCCTACTTGCCCATCTGCTGAGTCACACACTTGCCTCTCCCCAGGGAAGGATGCTGGGTGTCCCCCCTGACTCTGCCTCCTTTCTCCCACTATCAGGCCCTGTAGGTTCCCGGTGGCGAGATTATGGTGCGTTGGCCATCATCATGGCGGGAATTGCATTTGGCTTTCATCAGCTGTACAAGGTAAGTTGTCTTCCCAGAGGCTACAGGTGCTCTACCTGCTGCCCTGGCAGTCAGCTCCCCTCTCCCAGCTCTTGGTTTACCTCCTGCACAGAGGTGCTGTCCTCGGGGTGCTGCAGGCGCAGGAGGGAATGCGCACCCAGGCCTGGCAGGCACAAGCCCCTCCTCTCCTGCTCCACTCCTGAGTCTCTACTCACAGGGTGACCTTGAGGTCTGTCCCTTGCAGTCTGGGTCGGGCACTTAGAATGGTGCCTGATGTGTAATTTGTGAGGGATAAATTAAGAGCATGGACGCTGGGGGCCATCTGCCTGTGTTAAACCCTGGCTCTGCCCTGAGAAACTGACCACAGGCTCATCTGTAAAATTAGGATAAAACAGATGGTCCCCAACTTACAATAGTCACCTTTACAATGGTGCAGAAGCACACCCATTGCAACCCTTGCTGTGTACCTTCAGTGCAGTATTCAGTAAATCACACGAGATTGTCAACATGTTATTGTAAGAGAGACTGTTAGACGATTTTACCCACCATCAGCTGATGTGCATGTTTTAGGCACGTTGAAGGTAGCCTGGGAGATGAGGTGTATTGCATCATTGTTGATGTCCAGTGCTTCATTGTGACATGACTCCCTCTCCTCATCATTGAGGAGCAGCTGCAGTACCTGCTTCGTGAGATTGTAATGAAGAGCACAGGAAAGTGCTGAGACAAGCGGCTGACTCACTGGAAGCACTCCAAACTCCGTTGTTCTACCTTAGTATTTAAAGCCAGGTTGGGGAACCTCAGTGTAGCCATGTTCGTGGGATTGCCTTCTCTTCCAGGGAATGTATAACGTAGGATTCCTCAGGACTCATAAGCAGAGTTGATTGCTTACCACAGAACCTAGGCACCAAGCAAACATTTACTTTGTTGACACCAGTGAAAAGGCCCACCTTGGATCTGAAGAAATGAGTCTTTTCTAGAAGGTGAAGAGCCAGGTTGGGTCTCAGGTCCAAGATCTGCTCAACCTGGAGGCCACCCAGGGCCTGAATGAATTCCAGACTCACCATTGTAACTTTTAGCAAGTGAAATACATTTAAACCTTGCATCCTGGGATCCTTAGTTTGGGGCTTAATACAAAAGCTAATGGCAGAGTTATAGCAGAATAACATTTTTTCAGTGGAACATCTGTTGCTGTAGTTGGAAATTGCCATGTAGAAATCCGGAAGCAACTTCTTAGCAAAGGAAACAATCAGTAACGTGATGAGAGAGCCTACAGAATGGGAAAAAATCTTTATCACACACACCTCAGATAGAACACTAGTCTCCAGGATATATAAAGAACTCAAAAAACTTAACACACACACACACAAAAACAACAAACTGAATAACCCAATCAGTTCAGCTAAGAAACTGCACAGACACTTTTAGAGAAGACGAAATACAATCCATCAACAAACATATGAAAAAATGTTCATCATCTCTAGCAATTAGAGACATGCAAATCAAAACTACTCTAAGATTTCATCTCACTCCAGTCAGAATGGCAGCTGTCAAGAATGCAAACAATAATAAGTGTTGGTGAGGGTGTGGGGGAAAAGGTATGCTACATAGTTGGTGGTACTGCAAATTGGTGCAACCACTATGGAAAAGCCATATGAAGATTCCTCAGAAAACTTGGAATGGATCCACCATTTGACCCACCTATCCCACTCCTTGGTTTATACCCAAAGGACTTAAAATCAGCCTACTGTAGTGACTCAGGCACATTAATGTTTATAGCAGCTCAGTTCACAGTAGCTTAACTATGGAACCAACCTAAATGCCTTCAACAGATGAATGGATAAAGAAAATGTGGTACATATATACAATGGAATATTACTCAGCCTTAAAGAAGAATGAGATGATAACATTTGCAGGTAAATGGATGGAACTAGAGAATATCATGCTAAATGAAATAAGCCAATCCCCCCAAAAACGAGAGCTGAATGTTTTCTCTGATAAGCACATGCTGATTCATAGTGGGGGTGGGGGGATAGAGAAGAACGAAGGAACTTTGGTTTGTGTAGGGGGGAGTGAGAGGAGAGGAGTGGAGTTGTGGGGCTGGGAAGGACAGTAAAAGGAGACAGACATTATTACCGTGTATATATGCACGATTACACTGGAGGAGTGACTCTGCACCGTGGACAGCCAGAGGAAGGAGAAGTTGTGCTCCATTTGTGTACAGTGTGTCAAATGCATTCTGCTGTCAAACAGATTAATTAATTTTAAAAAATCTGGAAGCAAAATGTTCTGGATCCTAGGACTCCCTCCTCTGAGTGGATACCCACCCGTTTCTTGTGTGTGGACGGCTTCTTCCAAATCACTGGCACAGATTAGGCACCAGGAACGATAATATGACAACACACAGCTTTCCAATGAGTGCCTCGGCCCTGTGAGCCCCACAGGCTCAGGCCACAGGCCACAGTGCAGGCCCTGAGAGGAGCAGGAAGCACAGCCCCTTGGTGTAGGTGCACCAGAGGGCTGCTGTCCGTTTCCACAGAGCTCGGGCTCTCACCTGTTTGGTTTTTTTTTTTTTTTTCCTTTTGGTTTGGTTTTTAAATTTTTTTTTTAAGTTGTAGGTGGACAGAATGCCTTTATTTTATTTGTTTATTTTTATGAGGTACTGAGGATCAAACCCAGTGCCTCACGCATGCTAGGCAAGCTTTCTGCCTCTGAGCTATATAGCTCCAGCCCCTCTCACCTGCTTTATAAAAGAAGAAAGACATTGAAATGTCGGTCACAATGGTGACTGAAGAATTTGTGGAACAGAGCTGGGCGCAGTGGCAAACACCTATAATCCCAGCAACGTGGGAGGCTGAGGCAGGAGGATTGCAAGTTCAAGGCCAGCCTCAACAATTTTAGCAAGGCCCTAAGCAACTTAAAATTCAAAAGAAATCTCAAAATTCAAAAGAAAGTGCTGGGGATGTGTTTCAGTGGTACAGCACCTCTGTATTCAATCCCCAGTACTAAAAAAGAAAAAAATAAAGAATTTCTAGAATATTTGTTGATAGTTTTTTTAAATTAAAAAAAGAGGGGCTGGGGTTGTGGCTCAGTGGTAGAGTGCCTGCCTCACATGTGTGAGGCACTGGGTTCAATTCTCAGCACCGCATATACATAAATGAATAAAATAAAAGTTCATCAACACTAAAAAATATTTTTTAAAAAATTAAAAGAAGAAAAAAGAAAGCGGGAAAAAGCCACCCTCTTGCTGCACACATGCATAAGACTTAGGCCGAACAGGGCATGTGCCTCTTGTCACTTCTGACCTCAGAAATGGAGCCCATAGTTGTTTACATGTGTGAGAGTTTCTTGACTTTTATACTTAGGGAATTTTCCACCTGCAACGTCAGACTACGTTTGATGAGTTTTAGCTCAGTTGTGAGTAATAACTCACAGGGTGGCTGAAAAGCACTTTGCAAAATAGAAAATGCTTCTACACTTAAGCTGAATGATGGTCTTCACTTAGGAGTCACTCCTGAAATGAGCTCTCCCACAAACCCCCTGTGAAGGGCCTTCTCCTTCCCCATACAGAAGCTTTAATGGAGAAGCTTCCATCTTTTTTCCCCATCTGGGGCCCAAATAGACTAAGAAACAAAGTACCCTTGTGTGGCCCAGCCAGGCCCACGCCGCGTGAGCTCTAGCACCCTCCTTTTCAAGTTGCACTGGGTCTCGCTCCCCTCAAATAGGGGGCCTCGTGTGCTGGCCCCTTGTCTTGTGGGTCGAAGGACATTCGCCTCATCGTGCTGTCCAGTGGCCTGCTGCCTGCCTCCGCCCTTCCACACCCCTGTTCCAAGCCTTGCAGCAGGGTGTCCAGCTATGCCCTCGAGGGCCTTCTTCCAGTGCTCGGAGGACCGGGTGTTCAGGGTTCTTATTTGGTGGCATCACAGTCGCCAGGTGCAGCTTACCCCCTGGGGTACCTGTGAGAAGTGAGTTGTTTGTCTCTGAAGGAGGCTGCTTCTGAGGATTCAGCCTTGGTTTAGCAAAGACCAAGTGATCTCGGGAGACCACGGTATCATCCCCTACTAAAAACCAGGGCCCTGAAGTCTGCAGCTGATTTCCCTTTAGTTTCTTGAGTAAGTTTTTATTCATTTAATTTTAATAATTTGTTTTGAAGGGTGAAACAGGAGGCTGCCAACAGCATTGTTTTCCTATATATCCTTCCACATTTTCATCTTACAACTGTTAAAGTAGAATTTAAAGTTTTTGTCATGAAAATATGACATCACTAATAAAAGTTTCCTATCACAGCAGACCAAACTGGTTTTCCTGGGGCCAGGTTGCAGCTGTGTGGTGGAGCTTGCCCGACAGGTGCCAGACCCTGGGTTCTGTCCCCAGCGCACACGCATGTGCACATGCACACTGGCTTTCTTCATCCCTGTTCTCTCCCGATCCTTGTCCTTATTCAGACAGAATTTTAGATGGTTATAATCGCAGTCTTGTAACTTTTTCAAGTATTTTGTTCGCTTATGGATGTGCCAGGGTTCCCCAAACCTGGGGAGGACGAGGGAAAGTTGGGTGGCGGGATTTGAGAGACGGATGTCAGGTACCTGTGTGCACACCGCTCCCGCCCCTCTGCTTCTTGCAGAAGTACCTGCTGCCCCTCATCCTGGGCGGCCGCGAGGACAGGAAGCAGCTGGAGAGGATGGCGGCGAGTCTCTCTGAGCTGAGTGGCAGCGTGGCCCAGACAGGTAAAGATTAATGACTCCATCAAGTCACCCCTCAAAGCCTTCTCCACGCAGCCCCTTCGCGGCCCCTCCCCTCTCCCTCCGTCTCCACTTTATGTGGTGACTTCATTTATCTGCTCTGAGAATCTGTTCACATTTGCAAATGAAGCCGCCGTCATTTCGGTTTAATTTGAAATTGCTTGTTTACTGTCGGCGCGGCCTCAATTAATTATGTTTTTACGGAAAGGCTCCCAACCTCAGAATATTAATAAGGGGAATAAAATGACAGCCTTTCTAAGGGCTGTAAAGTTCATTTTTAATTTCTGCTTCTATGAGGTTTTCAGGGGGGTTTTCACTGATTTCCCCCCTTCCCTCTAAGAGTCCACGGCAGGGTCAGGAGAGTCTGTAATTACTGTGGCTCCTGGGACCCCGGCCACCTCCTCTGTTATCGACTCCACAGGGCTGGCGTTCATTACCCGCTGCCCCAGCGATGGCCCAGATTAGCTGGGACCTGTCGCGCCAGAGGTGGCTCTGCTCCGTTATAAGCTTGTTTACCAGGTGGAGCTCTGCATCTCAAACCCCGAGGCAGGCGGGAGCCTCCTGTCCGGGTAGCCCATGTCCCTCAGGGGCACCTTCGTGAAATCCTCAGAAGTCTGTAGCACGTATCTGTCACACTGGCATTTGCTCCTAGGAGGGTGATGCGGTGATACCTGGTCCCAGGGGCCATGTGACAGTGGGGTCTAGGCAGACAGCCTCAGGGTGGGAGTAGGATAGGAAGGCGCACTGGAGACAGGGTCCGCAGTTTCAGTCCTCCTGGATGTGGCGGAAGCCTGAGCCTCGGCCTTCCCAGGCTGGACACGCCCTGAGCTCCCAAGGACACGGCTAGGCCCATGAGATGAGTGAGGCAGTGAGAGGGGCCGGGAGAGCCAGGACGGCGCAGCCGGGCGTGATTAGAGGGAGAGGCTGGACCGGTGTGCTGTTGACCACGGACAAGCACACAGTAGAAAGACACAGTGGAAATCCGGAGGGCAGGTCCAGCGCAGGTGGGTTTCCAGGGCGCAGATGAGTCATCGGAGGTGAGGGGGCAGGGCCTGCAGATAAATGAACCGAAGCAGAAATAGGGGCTGCCCATAGGCATGGGGACTGAGGAGAGAGTCTGTGGGCACCACCTCACCAGACGCCACACTCTCTTCCCCAGTGACTCAGGTACAGACGACACTGGCCTCTGTCCAGGAGCTGCTGAGGCAGCAGCAGCAGAAGGTCCAGGAGCTGGCCCACGAGCTCGCCACCGCCAAGGTACTTACCTCTGGGCCCTGGGTTCCCCCAGGCCCTGTCTGTCCTGTCCAGCTCTTCGCCCTGGTCCTTGTGCCCCAGGTCTGGATGTTGTCTTCCAAGGTCTGAATGTCCTTCACCTGCCATCTGCTGTCTAACCTTTCCTGTGGAAAAGGGAGGCATCACCGTACACTTGGATGGCAGTTACCCATTGAGGCCACCCTTCCTGTCACCTCCCAACAGGAGGAGGGAAGAAAGCTGCCCTTTTCTCTGTGACCTCTGATGACAGCCACACCCCCACAGCTCTGGGCGCCATCATCGTAGGTGCCTGTAGTTGGGCTGCAAGTCACAGGGAGAATATGAGGGGACAGAAGGGAGAAGTGTGCAGTTTCCCAGCAACCCCTGTGCCCGCCCCAGGTGCATGGGCTAACCTTGCCTCAAGTACGTGGGCTTGGGTGATCCCAGTGGAATGGGAACCACCCAGGATCGACTGAGGAAGTTTTCCATGCCTTATTGCCCAAATCTGCAGCAGTCTGGGCAGTATCAGACTGAGGGATCCATCTGCTGGGTTAGAATCCTCACTTTCCTACTTGCTAGCTGTGGGACCACAGGCAAGTTACTTAACTTCTCTGAGTCTTCCTCATGTATACAATGGAGCTATGATGGTTCCTGCTTTGCTGGATTGTGGATGTGCTTAGAATGTTGCCTGACTTTGGTCAGGTCTCAGGGTTGCAGGCCCTGGTTTTCATGGGTGTATGATAGCATCATCATGGCTTAGGCAGACAGGGCCCAGGAGACAGTGGTCCCGTGGCTCCATAATGTCCTCTAAAGGATTTTACCCAGTCTGTTCTGCTAAGGGAAGACACCTTCAATGCACTAGATTGCAAAACCAGGAAAGTGGATCACTTCCTGCTTCTGATAGAGTCTGAGGTGCCTCTTGTGAAGACCCAAGAACCCCCTCCCGATGTCTCTCCCACACCTAGGTGTTGCCTCACCCCCTCCTCAGGTGGCTGCAGCCCCTGTGGGTCCCTGTGGCAGCAGCCTTCACCCCACTTGGTTATCTTTTGGATCAGTGGTCTGTCAGTGGCCAGCAGCCATTCTGGAAACTGGGAAATTGCTTTCAGACCTTAAACATTAAGATTAAGACCACGTGTTGAATTTGAAGGCGGGTGGGGTGGGCTTTTCCTGGTGGCTGAGATGGCCCCATAGAACTCCTCCGCTTGCTGTTCTCAAGCCCCTCCCCCTCCAGGCTTCTGTCCCCCTCTTGGTGATGAAGTGGGGTTCTCCAGCCTGGCATCTAAACACATGTGAGGACTTTGGTTACCCCATAAACCAAAGACTCAGAGCTGTGTTTTCTCAGCTGTGATGTAAGTTTTTATATCTGGCTTCCAAACTCCTACTGGAGCACTGTAAAAAATTAAAAAGAAGAGCTTTAAGTAATTAAAAAAACCTACATAAAACTGAAGGCTGCGAGTTTTCGACAACTGTTTTTTAAAGAGATTGGCTAAAAAGCCCCAGATGTCAGATTTTATTTCTGAATCCTGGCATCTGGCAGCACATGCGTTTGGTAATCGGAGTCCTGTGCAGGCCAGGAGTGGAAGTCGCTCCTGCTTGATGGGCTGCTGTAGCTTCCAGGGCGCGGAGGAGCTCATCAGCAGCTTCTGTGCCCTCGTCATCTGCTGATCTGGAGTGGGGACCCTGCAGGGTTGTGTGTGAGGGTGGCAGACATGGGCCCGCATTCTCCTGGACTGCAGGTTTCCTTCCCCCTGGGCGGCCTCAGCTGGGTGGGCCTGCAGTCGCCACTGTGCATTGGGGAAAGAGCCAGGCTCACCCCATCTGGAGGCAGCCTCCGGCTCAGGGAGGCAGGCACTTGAGCTGAGGCCTCCTGGCCGGGGTGAACCACTATATACCCAACACACTCACCCCGGCGGCTTGGCCACCCGCAGCTCCCATGCGGGGTGGTGGGATTGGCTCTCCTCTTGTCCATCTGTCCTGACAGGATTTGCCAAAAGCCATGTGCAGCAGCCCTGTGTGAAGGAGGTTCTGTCCTGGCCCTGGGGAAGGGCAGCTCAGAGCCCAGGGGCTGTTCTCTTCTCTGCTCTGCAACCAGAGTCATCCCAAAGAAGGGATGTGATTGGGTAGCATGACCTGCAGGTGGCTTTGCAGACAGGGAGGAGCAGTCCTGGGATGTCCTCTGGCCCCCAGGGCCCTCTAGAGACCAGACATCACCTAGCAGGAGCAGGAGGTCCCCAGCAGCCCCAAGCAGCCCAGCATGTGGTGAAGCCTGTCCTCCAGGCTGCGGGAGTGGCCCGCAAGGGTTGAGGTGCCCCAGCCTCTCTGATGCCCGGTGTGGCTTCCAGGCTCAGGAACACCAGTTTTGAGGCCACCCCGGCTGAGCCCCTTGCTCACTTCCAAGGGGCATTTCTTTTGGAAGGAGTGGGATTTAGTTTTTATTGTTCTTTTGTTTTAATGAGCATTTCAAACACAGAAGGGAGGGCATTGCTCACTCCAGCAGACCCCTGCCCGTCCTCCAGGTGTCACCCCTCCTTTCAGATACCACAGCGAGTCTCCCTGAAAGATGAGAGCTCACGCATCACGTCACTTTACAAACCCACAGTACCACGGTGCTGCCTGTCCTGTGCCCTTAGACACCCAGAGCCCAGGGAGTGTGGTTTTGAAGGGAGTCGCCTCCGGCAGTGCCAGGCCCTTCACGCAGGATCGCCAGGCTGTGGCCAGATAAAATGTGCCAGCTGCTATTGCCTTCAGGGTGCTCCTAAGCCACACCTTGCCCACTCGGGTGGCATGGGGGTGCCACTCTGACCTGCATCTCCTGTGTCTTGACTTTCAGGCCACCACATCCACCAACTGGATCCTGGAGTCCCAGAATATCAACGAACTCAAGTCGGAAATTAACTCCTTAAAAGGGCTTCTTTTAAATCGGTAGGCGAGAAGGCTCAGGTTCCACCTTATCTAGGTCCCTGCTTGGGACAGCAAGCAGGAGAGACCTCCTGGGCTGGCCTCGCAGCGGTGGGGAGCTCAGGGCTCCCCCGGGGCTCCCCAGGCAGCTTCTGACTGAGCTGTGGGATTCTGGCACTGAGTGCGGAGACCTGGGAGCTTCTGCTTCCCTCCCCAGAGCCCTTCTCCCTCCAGGCTGACAGTCGGCGGCACCCACAACGGTTTTGAAATAGCAGCGGCTCTCTGGACCTCTCAGGCGAGGAGCAGTGGGCACTCCCGCTCGGTTCCTCCTGAAGCAGGGGCTCCTAGAGGCAGGCTACCCCTCCCCCTTCCTGAGCCCAGACAACCTCAGTGACAGCTTTGCCCAGAGAAAGTCCCAGTGAGGGCCACTTAGTTCGAGGAGCTCTCCACGGGCAGAACAGTCCTCGCCTCCCTCCACCTTCCCTGGTATTCCTGTGCTGTCCCTCCACAGGGCAGCCCTGATGGTAAGGCGACCAGCTTTTCCTGGTTTGCCCAGGCCTGACCTGATCTTAAAGCTGGAAGTCCAGTGTCCCAGGAGCCTCTTTGTCCTGGGAAACCAGGAAGAGTGGTCATCCCACACAAGCGGCACCCTGGCAGCCCTTATCTGGATGCTGTCCTTCCTCCGCTGGACTTGGGGTTCAGTGGCGCCCAATGTGGGACCTTCATAGGGATCAGGGATGGAGGGTGTAGGGATTGGGTAGCCAGAGACCTCATTTTCAAACACGCCCGCCCTGTGTTCCCTGAGGAAGAGAACATGTCCTCAGAACAGGTGAGGGGCCCGGGGGCCCGAGGGTGATTAGTAGAAGAGATCTTTCCTGACCTTGGTGGTGGAGAGACCAGGCAGTTGGGGAACTTTGAGCAGGTGGAGTTCCTCACTGGCTTTGTGCCGCTGAGGCTAGTGAAGGCTGGGGTGTGCGCCCCTGAGGTGGAGGCTGTTTCTGCGGCCAGTGCTGGCTGCCCAGAGTGGGAACAGGGCTTTGTCCCCTGGGTCCCTACAGGGATGGGCCTGCAAGTCACAGATCTTCACTTCCAAGCAGTTGCCAAGCAGGCCTGGCCTCCCGGGTCCCCCCTGGAATGGGATTTGGTCTGGGCTGGCTGCTGGCCCAGGGCCTAGAAGGGAACACGGAAGCAGAAAGGGAAACCTGTCTGTTCCCTGTCACTTGGGCTCAGAGGCTTTCTACCAACGTGCACCAAGTTACCTCTTGATGCTGATGTCTGAGCCTCGGCCAGTGGCCACCTTCTGCCCAGGCCATAGACAAGTTAGTGTCGAGGTCCGTGTGTCCCGAGCCCTTGCAGCGCCTGCTTCCTTCCTTTGCTGCCTCTGGGGTGGAGGCAGGGCACTGCTGGGTCAGGAGCTCGACAGCCTCACTCTAGGCAGGGGAGGCCCCAGAGCCCCCAGTGCAGCCGGGCATCCTGTGGGCAGCGCAAGGGCTCTGGCACCCTTCTTAGCTGATGCAGCCTCCGTTGGGCCAAGAGGTTTGTTCTCTGGTCCCCTGCTGGGTATCTCTGGGGGCACTGTTCCCATCATGGCTCTCGGGGGTCAGTGAAGGAGGGGCTGTGATGGGGAGCCCCAGCTGGGGTCACCAACCTCGGCCTGGCCCCCTGCTCTCCCCTGCCAGGAGACAGTTCCCGCCATCCCCGTCAGCCCCGAAGATCCCCTCCTGGCAGATTCCAGTCAAATCGCCGTCACCCTCCAGCCCTGCAGCCGTGAACCACCACAGCAGCAGTGACATCTCGCCAGTCAGCAACGAGTCCACGTCCCCCTCGCCTGGGAAGGAGAGCCACAGTCCCGAGGGCTCCACGGCCACCTACCACCTGCTAGGCCCCCCGGAGGAAGGCGAGGGCGTGGTGGACGTGAAGGGCCAGGTGAGGATGGAGGTGCAGGGCGAGGAAGAGAAGAGGGAGGACAAGGAGGACGAGGAGGACGAGGAGGACGACGATGTGAGCCACGTGGATGAGGAGGACGTCCTGGGGGTGCAGAGGGAGGACCGCAGAGGTGGGGACGGGCAGATCAACGAGCAGGTGGAGAAGCTGCGGCGGCCCGAGGGTGCCAGCAACGAGAATGAGCGGGACTAGGGCCTCTCCCAGGGACACCGTCCAGCTGTGGGCTCTGGGCTCTGGGCTCTGGCTCTGGGCGGGGATGGCCTCAAGCCAAGGTCTGGGCAGAGCTGTGCTTGGCTGCAGAGCGTGAGGCTCCCGTTTCTGTCCACATCTGCGTCTCACCTGAGCAGCATCCCAGGCCCAGCCCACACCCCACTCAGCTCAGCCCAAGCAGGTGGCTTTGCCTTCCTCACAGCCACACCGAGGACACCAAGCCTCGGAGCCCCACCCCCGACAGTGTCTCCTCGGGGTGCTGGCCGGCTGAGCGTCTGGACTGAGCTGACACCGTGCATGGCAAGAGCTCATGTGGTTACCTGCCTTCTCCCAGTGGGGAGGAGCCACAGTCCCCTTGGTCTCTGCTGTCCCTGCTCTGTCCTCTAGGCCTGGCCCATGGCTCACTCTTCGCGCTGTTTCCAGAAGCCAGAGCCCTGGACCCATTCCCCCTCAGCAACAGCCTGCCAGGGCCAGCCTCCCCACAGCCGGGCCCTGCCTGACAGGTGGGCACCTGTCCCCACCCCCAGCCCACACGCCCTGGCATCCTCTCCAACAAATGAAATCACACTGCGCTTCAGACCGTCCTCGCCGGCTGTGTCGTGGTCCAGCTGATCCCGTGGGGAGACGTGATTTTCGCTCCACGGCAGGGCCAGGCGGCAGAGCCTTCCTGACCAACAGCCATGTCTGTCCTTCCCACCAAGGAACATGTTCATTTGTGTCATCATGTATAGATTTCAGAATATAAGATATGATTGTATATAATTGTAATAAATACGAGTTGCCACTATTTAACTCCTGCCTGTGGCTCCCTGTCTGCTGAGGGCCCTTCGTGCCCCCTGAGGACTGCTCAGAAGCACCCCAGCTGAGCCCCAAGAAGGGCCAGAGGGACGTGGGGAGGGCGAGGGGCCTGGGCAGCCTCTGTCCCCCGACCCCGGGGCCTTCCCCAGGGCTGCTTACCCGGAACTGCAGGAGTCCTTCCTGTGCAGGCCGCAGGGGCGACGTCCTGGGAGCCGCAGGGCCTCCTTGGCTGGGCGCAGACCTGGTGTGAGCGTGGTGAGCTTCTTCCTTAAATGGACGCGCGTTCCCAGGAGCGGGTGTCCTCTGCCTCGTCTCCGCGCCCTCCCTGCCTCCCTCTAACCTTCACAGAGCATGGAGCGCAAACCTGAGCCAGCAGCTCCTGCCAAGGGCCGCTCCGCGCTCCTCGAGTCCGCCTGGGCCGGGCCTGGGACTGCTGGCACTGCCCTGTCTGGGCCTCCTGTGGACACAGCCCAGAAATGGCACAGGCCCTGGCCACCACTGCAGGTGGCCACAGCGGGGTGCAAGCTCCCCCAGTGGCCTCCCAGGCCCTGGCCAGACTGAGGGACTTGGCCTCAGGGCACTTTTATTCCAGAAGAGAGAGGTCACAGCCCTGCTGCGGGGCCCACCGAGGCAGCAAGTGGCCCTGCCTGTCTGGCCCGGGGGGGGGGGGGCAGGCTTGTCCTCTGTCCTCATCACCTCAGGTGACACTCCTCAGGTCTGTTTCCCCAGCCATGTGACCCTTAGGGACCTGCAAAGCCTGGTGAGAGCCATCCCTGCACTTGTCCTCTTGCTTCGTCCCCTGCCTCCTTGCATCCCTGAGAATCTCAGCTCTGGGGTGACCAGCCTGCCTGAGAGGGGACCCTGTGTTCTCAGGGACCCAAGGAATCCCAGCCTTGGTGGCCAGGCCGACTGACCTTGGCTGCTCCAGCAGAGGGCAGGGCGTGGCCCCGCCGGGGCAGCTGATGCCGGGCCTTCCCCCTCTGGCTGCTGTGCTGCTGTCCCTCCATGGTGAGTGGGGACATGGCTGCTGAGCAGACAGGACCCCCCTGGGTTTGGTCACCATTTGTCATAGTTGTTAAACTTCCAGGGTCCCTCCTAGTGAGACCAAAGAGCAGGTGTCCAGGGGAAGGTCGAGGCAGGGGAGGCGCTGGCCACGACCAGGACCTCGCGATCCCTCCCCCTCAAGACCTGGGCCCTGAAAGAGGGGTCCTGGGCTTCACCGTTCCTGAGGTGGGGGCTGCAGGGCCACCTCAGGGCACGTATTCCTAGCCCAGGGGTCAGCAGGAGGGAAAGTCCCCAGCTCAAGCAGGGAGGAGAAGGGGTGAGAACCTGGGGCCCCAGGCCTTTGCCCCTCAGGTCCTGAGCGCCGAGTTCTGCTTTTGAGGACAGAGAGTCTGGCATGACTTCAGGGAGAGGAAAACCCCTCCCCAAAACGCACAAGTGCTGCCTAATAAAGGCTGTTGCTGGACCAGGGCGGACGGCCCTGCGGAAAAAAAGCCTTTCATTAGAAAAATAATGCATTTCATCCAAATAAGGTAAAAATATTTGGAATGGGGCAGAAGTGAGCAGCAGGCAGCGCCTGTCAGGCCCTCTCTGGAAGGGAGTAGATTATTAAACTCAATTACAACGTCTTTTTATAAAGCGCCGTTAGGAACAGACTAGCCCAGTGCCTGGAGGCCACGGGCCAGCTGTCCTGACCCCCCCAACAGGCTCCCCTCCGACTCCGGGGTCTCCCTAGCACTGGGTGACTTGTGGGACTCCCTTGGACAGGGGCATTTTGGGGAAGGACAGGGGCCCTCCTTTGGCTTTCGAGCCACCCAAAGAGGAGGCCAGGCCAGGAGCATCCTAGGGGATTGCGCGGGCCTGACCCTCCTGCAGGGAGGCCCCAGGCCAGGCCCAGAGCAGGTAGTCGCCCATGAAAATCTCAGCTCCTGGGGTGACCATCTGCGGCCCGTGTCCCGGGACCTCTTGGGTGGGAAAAGGGGGCGTTCTGAGTTGGGGGAAGGGGCTACCAAATTTGTGTCCACAAGTGTTGACCTTTTTCCTTTTGCGGAAGTACATGTCCGCTGATGAGGACGGCCAGTGGACGGGCAGGGAAGGAGAGTCCCCTCCCACCCCTCCGGTTTTGCTGTGCTGTGTGGTGGGTCTCGTAATTTGTTTTAAAATAAAAACAGAAGCTCTCCTCAGAGCTGTGCGCTTGTCTGTCCTGAACAGTGGGCGGACTGCCTGTCCTCTGGGTCCTCACACCCCCGCCCTGCCCCCCTCCCAAAGCCCATGCTGGCGCCATCTGCTTGCAGAGAAGAGGGAGGGGGCGTGGGGCAGTGCAGAGGTGCCTGTGAGACCCCTCAGGTGAAGCATCCACCTGGGGCGGGCACCAGGCCCTGGCCACCCCACGGGCCTGACCCTCCTTTCCAACAGGAAGAGCAAAGCCACTCTTCTGTCCCTGCTCAGCGCAGGTGTGTCTTACCCTGGGGCCAGTGGCCTCCTGGCCAAGGAGAATGTCTAGAAACAGGGCCAGGCCCAGGCAGGAGCCGCCGACCTCCACGGGCACCGCCCTGCGCCTGCCACACCAGGCCACTGCTCTTGACACTCTTTCTTATCAAAATGAGTTTGAAATCTCAGCCAGCGTTTGGGGTGATTTGACCTGAAGCGTGAAGGAGCACCTGTGAGTCCTCCCCCTCCCAGCAGCCGGGGCTTGTTACGGCTTCATCGCGAGTGGCCTGAGCCTTTCTTTCTCCATGGCCAGTGCTGCCAGGAAGGACGTCTTCATAGTGGCGGATGCTGGGTCCCCTGGTGAACACCAGTAGCCCCAGCTGGAAATTTTGGCACAAGTTTATGGAGAGTCTTTGGTAGGGAACTGGGGTCTCCCTCCAGGTGTGGGCTGTGGGCCTAGGGGACATCAAGCAGCCAGCGATGGCCACATCAGCTGTCCTCTGCCTCCGGCCCTTGCTGGGGGCCTTTGGAGCCACTTCCTGTCTGATCTGCCCCAGAGGGTAGGGCATTTCCTCCCAGGAAGGATGGCACAGGCCTGGCTTCTCTTTGTTTCTGGCAAGGCCCCAGATTCCAGAGCTTTCCAGGGGCGCTGTGGCCGGTCCTGCTTCTTGGAGGTCTGATCCAGGCTGGGGCAGTGTGTTTTCTTCCTACCCTGGGCCCTGGCCCTGGGCCAAGGCCACCTGTGGGGCCAGGTCTGACCCTCAGAACAGTAATAGACAACCTGCCTTGCTCAGTGGCCTGCCACTCTCTGGGTTGGGGCCAGACCTGCTCCAAGGACCACACTGGGGAGGGGCAGGCCACCATGCTCAGCTAGGAGCCTGTGCAGCTGGTTCTGGCTCTCGCCAGGAGGTTCCAGAGCTCCTGAATGTGCCCCAGTTTGGGTGTTGATTGCACACCACCAGAGCTGATTAAATCCCAGAGGGAAAACATGCCCGACTGCATTTCCTACTGGGTCCAGCAAGCCACGGGCAGCTTCCTGGGCCCCTGCCCACTGCCTGCTGCCCAGCAGGGAGCGGTGCCACCTGCAGCAGCCGGCTCCCCACTGGCCGAGTGGGTGCAGGTGGGTGGGCCCTTCTTTCTGCCCTCTAGGAGCAACAGCCTGTTGGTTCCCTGGTCTTTCTGGAGTGGTGCTGTGAGACCCAGTGTCCCTTCCCTGGATCCTGTCAGGAGGCTGGCTGGGCAGCTGGTCTTACCTCCTATTTCCGGGATGTGTGGATCTGCCAAAATCCATCCAGGCCCAGTCGATCTGGGAACAGGGGGTAGTTTGGGGGCCGAGTCAAGACCATCAAATTGCTTCGAGGCTCTAGCTTCCAGGAGTCCAAGACCTGCCCCCACTCTCTGCTGCCCATTGCTTTGGTGCCCAGGGGGAGCCCTGTGGCCACGCCACCCCCCAGTCCCCCTGCCAGCCGAGGCTGGGACTTGGCTCCCTGCCTCCTTAAGGCCCCATGGGAGGCCATGTGCCCACCAGGGCCTACAAAGCTCCAATAATGGTTTTAATTTGTTGAACTTGTGTTTTATTCCATAAATTAGTCACTGTTTTATTTAACAGAATCAAGATATCCACAAACAATAGGCGAGTTCCAACTTGAACATTTTAATAAGACCGAAAAAAGTATATATTTTCGTGTCTGTTACAGACGTATTTATGTAAATAGCCTGTGGGCCTCGGTCCAGGAGGAAGGCCGACGGGGAAGGGCCCCGTGCGCTGGGCCTGGGCTGGCCAGAGAGGCTTTGTGGTGGCAGATGACACCAAGCTGGGCTCTGAGGGGACAAGCTGCTCTGCTGTGGTCCCCAGGCAGCTGGCTGGTGCTCAGATGTGCCAGGTGCAGTGAGGGGGATGAGTGTGCCCCAGGGACCAACTTCTTGATCCCTTCAGAAAAGTGGATGTCTTCCCCTGTGGCAGGGATGTGGCAAGCCAGCAAGATGCTCTTCATCATGGAGGACAAGAGTGGCTCCACACATGTCCGCTCCCAGGGCCACCTGGAGGCCAGCTCGGGACAGGCCGGACAGGATGATGAGGTTTGAAGAGGACCCTCAGAAGCGTCAGGCACGTGGGAGCCAAACGAGGAGCCCTTAGGTCTGCACTTTGGGCCACTCCCTGGTGTCCAAGGGCACCCCCCGCCCCCGCCATGGAGCCACCAGAGCCCGCAGCTCAGGCCCTGGCCCGTGGCTACGGACCCAGGAACTAGCCCCCAGTTCTGCCATGACGAGCCTCGAGCCCGATCCTCGCCAGCATCCGGACTGGATCCGGGTACGTGCCGTTCCTGGCCTGGGCAGGTCCCTGCAGGAAGGAGGAAGGCGCTGAAGGAGGGGCTGCAGGATGACCCTGCCAAGCACTCGCCCAGTAGCCCTGACTAGGACAGGGTAGGACGGGGTCTCGGGGAGGCCTGAGCCTCACTGCTGGATGGCCCTACCTGAGGGTGCTCCTGAGCCTCAAGCCGGGTTTCAGGCAGGGCCCAGGATGGGAGGAGACCACTTTCCAGCAGGGCAAGTCCTGAGCCCACCACTGTCATCAGCAAGCTGGAAGAACCTGGCCTGGTGCCCAGGACAAAACTGGTCTGTCCCCCATCTCCCCACTGGGCTTGAAGATGACCAGCACCCTCCTCCCTTCCCTTCACTGGCACATGGAGCAGGGCTTGTTTGCACCACCCCACATAGCTGGGTCACGGCCAGCCGCTTGGGGGCGATTTTAAAAATAAAAGATAACTTGATGGATTTTTTTTTCCAGTTTTTATTGAGTGAAAATGTCAAACCTTGCATCAGTCATGCAAAAAAAAAATCAAATAAATAAAACACATATATTAAATTTCTAATAGCACTAAATTCAAGTGGAAAAATATTCAGTTCTTAATAACCAGGTGCCGAGGAGACCAGATTCAAGTAATCAGAGCACGCGCTGTTCAGTTCGGTTTCACGTTCTGCGTTTTTTTGTCTCAAAACCTCTCTATACATCTCTATATATCTATATATGTATATACATATAGATATATACACACATATGTGCATACATATTATTTTATATTTATATATATACACATACATAGTTATAAAACATTAAAAAGAGCATTGGTGGATCAAGCATCATTTTCCCCACAGAAAGAAAATAAAACAAAAATTACACATTAAAATTCAAAATGAGCTAGCAATGGCTTATAGTCCTAGTGTGCAATATGAAGGTTACAAAAGGCTAGACTTCGCACTGTCGGCATCTTCGTTTTTCTTTTCTTTTTTTTTTAATTTTTTGTTTGATTTTGCTACATTGAAAAATGTTTTTTTGTTTTTGTTTTTGTTTTTTTCCTTTACAAAACTCCTTAGACAGAGTCCTGTGGTAGGTCAGAGTCTGGGCAAATGCTCAGCAGCAGCACGTGGTGCCCACAGGATTCAGGAGGCTCTGGTAGGGGCTGTTTAGAAATCAATTGACTTCCTGTTGAATCAGGTGCACTGTCTGACTGCTCCTCCCTCCCTGCTCCCTCTCCAGCTCAGGGGGTCCTGGCTTTCTAGCTGTGGGCAGCTGAGAGGAGACACACACACACACACACACACACACACACACAGGAAAAAGAAAACCACTGCCCTTGAAGCCCTTTGGGGTGGGGGCTTCAGGGAGATAAGACTCTACCCCACCCCTCTAATGCCTGCTGGGCCTGTTCTTTCTCCCCAGCCGGAGGCCCCCTGGGGCCCTGAAGTGCAGAAGAGGGACAGAGGCTGGAGGGCAGCCTGCCCCGTCTGGGGACTGCAGCAGCCAGGTCAGGTGTGTGCCTGCCATTAGCCCTGCACTGGGCTGACAGCCTCAGAACCTCCAGGAGGCGGGGTTTGAAAAAGGGGCTGAATCTGGGTGGGTTGCACCAGCCTAGAAGCATCCCGAGCAAAATAAGAAGACAAACTGGGACAACAAGCAAGAAGCCCTGCAAAGCCACACGCATAACCAACAGAGGAAAACTCCAATGTTAAATTAACTACAAACTCGTGTCAACAGTAATAGTCCATTTTTCTTGTCTACAAAATTCAAGTTAAAAGTTGGAATCACGCAGCTCTCATCAGTGCTAGTGTGAAGACGGACAGCCTCAAACTGCTAAGGCCTCTAAAATCAAAGCTAAACATCCCACGGGAGAAGTCGCACCCCCTTCTCCAAGCTCAGGCTGGTCCGCGGGGTGTGGCGCTCAGCCGCCCGCTTTTGCTTGTCTTTTTTTTTTTTTTTCCTTTGCTCTACGTAGAATAATAACCTTTACAGGAAAAATACTGTACAACTTCTTGTATTTTTTTCCATTTTGAATATTAAAGCCCAAAACAGCCGCATCCTTCCTGTTTGCACCACCAGGGTGGCTGATACCCCAGTCCCCAAGGCTCCATTTGGGTGGGTTGGGACACAGCCTCTTTTTTTTAACGGGGTGGGGGTGGGGGGCTGGGACAACCGCCACCGGGGGGCAGGGGGCAGGGGCAGGGGCGGGGGCGGCAGCCTGGCCCTGGAGCGCGGGGCAGCCACACTGAAGGGCCCGTCTGCTGCTACCTTCAGATTTCCTCGATGTCCCTGTACTGTCACCCGTGCTGACCGCCTTCCCCAGGGCAAGGGGGGAAGTCTTAGCTGCATGAAGGGGGCTCCCCCGGCCAGACGCTACAGGTGGCGGCCCCGCCCCCGGTGGCCGATGGGGTCCCAGTGGCCTCCAGCGCCCGCCCCGGTCCTGAGCAAAGAGCTGGCGGCGGTCAGCGCGCGCCCGGGCGAGCACCTGCTGTTCCCTGAAGACCCCGCTCGGCGGGCAGGGGGCGGCGGCCTGTCCTCCGCCGCGGAGCTGCGCGTTCCGGGCGGGGCGGCCCGAGCACCAGAGGGGTCCCCGCCTCTGTCCTGAGACGGACTCGGGGTCCGGAAGCACCTGCGGGGCGCCCGGCGGGGCGGGCGGGCGGCTCTGTTCAGGGGCTTCACGTGGAGACAGCGTTTCTTTAAAGAGCGCCGGGGACAGTGGGGACAGTGACGTGACGCCGCGGGAAGAGGCGCGCTAGGGCGACGCGGCGGCGGGCGCGGGGCCGGGGGCGCCCAGAGCCGCCAGCGCCGGGGTCCGTGCGCCCGCCTCGGCCGCCGCCTCGGGCAGCGACTCCTCCGAGTCGGTGCGCAGGTCCTCGTCGTCGTCCTCGTCGTCCTCGTCGTCCTCGTCCTCATCGTCCTCGTCGTCGTCGTCCTCGTCCTCGGCCTCCTCCTCCTGCAGCTCCAGCTCCTCCTCCTCGTCCTCCTGCGAGGACTCCCCGGCGCCCGCGGCCGGGCCGGGGGCGGCGGGGACCTCCCGCGGCGCGGGGGCAGCGTCGGGCGGGCCGGGGTCCCCGGCGTCGCCGAGCGCCAGGCCCAGGCCGGCGGCGGCCGTCTGCAGGAAGAGCAGCGAGCCCCCGGGCTCGGCGGCCAGCGTGAGCGAGCCGTCCAGGCTGACGGGCGCGCCGGGCGAGGCGGCGGGCGGCTCGCCGCGCTCCTGCTTCTCGTGCTTGCGCTTGTGCGAGTCCATCTGCGACATGCCCACGACCGTGTGGCGGCAGCCCGGGTAGGTGCAGTGGAAGTGCGAGCACTTGAGCTTGTACTTGCAGTCCGGCACCGCGCAGTCGGCGCTCGAGCTGAACTGGCAGAAGCCCGCCGCGCTGATCACGTCCTGCTTGCCGTGGTGCTTGCGGTGCGCCGTGACCTTGGTGCTGTCGGTGCAGCGGAAGCGGCAGCGCAGGCAGTGGAAGTGCGTGCTGGTGCCCGAGAAGGGGCAGTCGGCGAAGTGGCAGCTGAGCGAGGCCTTGAAGCGCTTGAAGTCGTCCAGCACCAGGTTGTCCACGCGGTCGTGGTGCTGCGCGTGCTTGTACATGTGCGTGCGCCCGCAGAACTTGTAGCCGCAGTTCTCACGCGTGCAGTGGTAGTGGGTGACCTTGAGCGAGAACTGGCAGGCCGTGTCCTTGCAGTCCTCATAGAGGTCGAAGCGCCGGAAGCCCTCCAGCATCATGCCCTCGTCCAGCATCTTGCGCGAGGAGGCCGTCTTCCGCCGCTTGCCGAAGGGCGACATGTCCTCGATGATCCAGAAGCGCTTTTTGGCACCGGAGGCGGTGGGCATGGAGATGGTATTCCCTGGGGAAGGGGCACAGGGCAGTCAGTGCAGAAGGCTGCCTCTTTTGCCAGGGTCACACTCACACAGGGCCCTGACCCTGGTCTGGTGGCCAGGGCGCCTCTCCCCACCCCCAGAACAGCAAAGGAGTCCCAGGCTTCCCTTGTCATCCAGACCTGCAGACGACCACACGTGCATCCCTGGGTGGCAGACCAACCAGCTTTGCCGGGATGTGGTGGCTGCTTCCTGACCAGTTTGGGTAGGAAGTGAGGACCTGTCCTGGTGCTAATTGAAGCTGAAGGGAGAATCTAGGTCGCAGAGTGTAATTACCCAAGTTGGAGGGGGGCCAGGGCCCATCACACGCCTGCCTCTAATGAGGGACAGGCCGGCTCCTTTCCCGCCACGGGCAAACCAGTTCCCCGGGCTGCCTGCCTGTCTGCAGGGGGACCTGCCTACTCACAGCCGGGATGCCAAGTGCCCTAGGCCATCTGGGGCTGTAACTGCCCTGAGGAGCACCTTCTCCTTGGTTCCAGAAGGCTCTTTAAGGTCTTAAGGTTTCTGCCCCTAGTGGGCCTCCTAGGCCAGGCCTCAGGAACTAAATACCAAAAAAATACCAACCCCCTGCTCAGAGTCTCCTCGCTGGGCCAGATCTAGACAAGGGCTTAGCTACAGGACAGGCACCCAATCAGTGCCCAGGCTGGCCCAGAATGCTTCCCAGGACTTAGGAGCCCACTGCCAAGGGCTTGCTTCCTCACCCTTTTCAGAAGGCACCCACTGGCTACACAGGGGGGAGGCAGCACTCCCCAGAAATAAGGGACCCAAGGCCCAGACCCACCAGAGGGGGACATCCTCCAGGCTGCTCCCTGTGCTGGCCGAGGGCCATGGCCCTTCTGAGTCTGCCAGAATGCCTGGCCACCGCTCTGTCCACCAAATTACTGCCTTGCGGATTTGGAGAACAGGCCCAGTCACCCAGCCTTGGCAGATGAAGAGAAACTGAGGGCTGGAATGGGGTGGGGGCACTAGGCAGGGGCCATGGGAGAGCCTCAGGCCTGGAAATCCACCAGGGATGATGTGTTCTTGGGTCTGAAGTCACAGGGTGACAGCTCTCAATGGGCAGAACCCATGTACTTACTGCCACAGCCACCGGGGCCTGGCACAAAGCCATGCTCAGGCACAATGTGAGGTGACAATGCATGGAAGGTGGTATGCCGTCTGCAAGGTGAGGGGCCAGCAGACCCTCCCCGTGGGACTCCAGATATGGAGTTGGGGCAGGAAGGGCTTCTATCACAGAGCACAGCCCGAGGCCTGAGGCTCCAGAGGTTTCTTCCCCTGGCTCAGCTTTAAGGGAGGGGTGGGGCCAGATCAAGACCCTCGAATCTGGGTGGGAAGCTGAACACCTGAGAGCCACAGGGACAGGCTCTGTTCTGCCCAGGCCCAAGGTGAGGCCACCCTGAGCAGCCAGCTGGAATCTGGCATGCCTACTCTGGGCTGACCAGTTGCTGAGCAGGGGCAACTGGCTGGCAGCAATGCTCTGGTCTGAGCAGGAGTCACAAGGAGCTGTCTTTGGGATAGGAGCCAGGCTTTCTGGTCTCAGGAGTGCTTGGCCATCAGGATGCAGCTTTGTTTGGCCCCAGCTACCACCAAAAACACCTGTCCTTGACTGAGCTGGCCACAGAAAAGGGTCAGGTCCTGGACCACAGTCTCAAGGATCGGGTGGGGTGACAGATACTGCTGAGAATGTGTGTGCGAGTTACCTGCGGCGTCCTGAACTAGGGGGACGTCACTTTTTACTGGAGTTGGAGTGGCAGTGACAGGCGGGAAGCTGGGCGGGCTGCTGATGGGGTGGGCCAGGCCGCGACTGGCTCCCAGAGTGGCACTGAGCAGAGAGTATGAGAGACAGGACGGAGAGAAGAGGCATGGGAGGGGGGGGAGGGGCGGCCGGAGCGCAGCCGGCGGGAAGGGTGGAGTCAGGGGGGGCCGTGGGGCCCCACGGGTGGCCTCGTCACCAGTGGCAGCAGGAGGAGGAAGAGGAGGAGGAGGAGGAGCCGGGCCGCCTGGAGAAGGTGGAGAAAAGCAGAGAAAAAAAAAAAAAAAAAAAAAAAAGAACCAAAACAAAGAACAAACAAACAAAAAGAACCAAAATGAGAAACCAATGGTGGAGCAGGTGGGAGACACTGGACAGAGGAGCAGAGAGAGGAGCGAGAGGAGGGAGGCCGCAGGGCGGCTGTGAGCGGTCAGGGCGGGCCTGGCAGGCGGGCGCCTCTCTTGGACCCCAGGCCCAGGCTGCAGTGGGCCAGGGCCTGAGCGGGGCCAGGGCCTGAGGGGGGCCAGGGCAGGCCGGAGGGCTGGGCTGTACTGCCTTCCTGGAACTCTGGAGGACAGGCCCAGGCTCCTCTCCTGGAAACTGAAGCACAAGGCAGAGTGCTGGGGAGGTGGCAGGATGGTAGGAGGTGGCCTCAGTGTCCCACATCCCACACACCAGCTGGTCCACTGCACACCAGCCTGTCCTCCTCAGGGCCACCTCACTGTGAACCTTGTGTCCAGGATGGACGCGGCAAAGCGGGGCTGGAGGCAGGGGTCCTGCGCTCACCTGCCGCTGTGCTCTCGTTGCCCACGGGGGTGCTGGAGCAGCTGCGATCCATGGTAGAGGACTCGGAGGAGGCGGCACCCGGGCTGCAGCCGGTGTAGTCCATGCCCTCATCTGTCTCAGCATCCATCAGGCTTGGGGGGCCCTGGGAGGAAGCAGGGTGCCTGAGGAGCTGCCTGCCGCCTTCGCTAGGGGCAGCAGGGCCTCCCGGGGGTTGGTGGAGCCACCCACAGGCCTGCTTGAGGCACTCACCTGGGAGGGGGGCACGCGATCAAAGTTCTTCCCGAGCATCCTGCGCATGTGCTTCCGGGCGTGGGAGGTCATCTGGTGCTTCAGGAGGAAGGAGAACTGGCAGCCCTCCCGGATGCAGTGGAAGTGGCTGTTCACCTGGTTGTACTTGCAGCCTGTGGACACGGCCCCCACCTGCATAAGCCTCCCCAGCCAGCCAGTGCTCACAGCCAGTGTGTGTTGAGCACACTGTTCTGGGCACAGGGAGTGATCGACAAGGCCAGTGGCATGTGCACCCTGAACTGCATTTCTCCAAGGAAAGCTTACGATCAGCCACCTGCAGGAAGTCCAAGGCTACGAAGGCTGTCCAAACCCACTCCCTGCCCACATACTGTGGGAAGGAAACCTAGTGGGCCCTGTCCACAGCATGCCACCTGTCCCCAACACCTTCTCTGGGGACCTGGGCTGGTGGGTGTGGCAGCCAGCCTCCACCCTGCCCCCATGTCTCTCCTTTGCTCCAGGCTGAGAACAAACAGAACAGGTGGGGCCAAAACAGCATCAGCTGAGGGCAGGTGAAGGCCTGCCCGTCACCATGGCACCGAGCTGGCCAGGTGTCTTATATCATCCCCCGGCTTTGTTTGGCCCCAGCTACCACCAAAAACACCAAAAGTTGAGTAAATAACGGCAACTTCAGAATACCCTGACATCTGTAAACTGAGCCCCGTGACAGCATGGACTTCTGAGTGTTGACACCTGTCACCATGGTTACCAGCCCTCTCCTGGCCATGAATCCTTTCTGAATTAATACTTGAAGGAAAGATTTGTTTCCTTTCTTTTCTGGCAGTTGATGAGTATCTTGCCCTTCCTCTGTGGAAGGGCCTGCCTGCAGCCTCCCTCTGCCACCAGCCCCTGAAACCATGACCACAGGCCACAGCCGGCCTGGCCTGTAGCCCGCAGCCCAGGTGTCCATGCTGACACCTTCTCCTGCCTTTCCTTCAGCTTCCAGTCTATTCCCAGGGAGATTCCCATCCCAGTCTATTCCCGATGATTCCCATCATCGACAGGCTTATGAACATGGGGCTCCATCCTGAGGCAGGAGGGTGGGCTTTGCTCTCTGCCTGCTGACCCTAGAGCCCCAATCCCATTGGGCATCCCCAGAAGGAGGCCCTGTTCCCTGTGGGGCTCAGATCTCAGCATCTATCACCAAGCTCAGGGCTGCGGGTGACCTCTTCTTCTCAGACCCATGGCTACTTCCTTCCTGAGTATCCTGCCAATCAGATTCTCCAGCTGAGCCCACACATCTTCGCCAGGTTTCCAGCACCAAGTCCAATGCCAGCACATACCAGACACTCAAAAACTCTTAGCTGCTGCCACTGTCACCACTCCCGTGTCCCTGCAATAGCACTGGCACACAGTTGTTTTTCAGTAAATTACTGCTGAATGAACGAACAAACAATGGCACATTTTAAACAAAACCCTACAGTTGAAGCTATGGAAAGCAACCCAGGGCGAGTGATTTCCAAACCCCTGAGAAGCTCACCTGCCTGCCCTCTGGAAAGGGGAAAAGAATCAAGCTGAGCCATGAGTGCCGGCAGTGAGGCTCCAGGGCATCCTACTTGCATGGAGGAGGCCACAGTGACTCTCGTCCTCTTCCCTGGGATGTTTTAGGTTTGACACCTTGTGAATTTGACAACTGGCCTGTACCTGCTAGAAGTCCCTACCCACCCTGGCTTAGTACCTAGCCTGCCGCACTCCTCGCGCTTGGTGAAGTATTTGAATCCGTTGGCTGCCCGCCGCTCAGCTTTCTCATGCTTCTTTATGTGCCAGGGCAGCTTGGTGGTGATGTTGGTGACGAAGTAGCAGCCAGTCCGGAGGCAGTGGTAGTGTCCACGCATCCGGAACTCACAGTGCTGCAGGGAAGCACAGGAAGATCAGGACAGGTGGGGACTTGTGTGGGCTGCTGCCTGAACTGGGACTCTGGGCTGTGGCAGGCCCTTGGCACATGTGTTCTTCCACACCCAGAATCAGAAAATGCAATCTTGTAAAGAACTTTCACATGTCAAAAAGCAACATGTCCCTCTGTCATGTTATTTAGTTATTTTGCCATCCTTCAATGCCACCCAGAGCAGACATCACTAATCTATCCCAGTTATCTTCCCTTCATAGCTGGACCTACCTAGGTAGGCACCACTAATCTATCCAGCCAGTCTTTTCTACACACCCAGACCTCTGCTCTGAGTCCTCAGGTAGCCCCTATCTTGGGGATAGGCCTTTAAAGTGAATTTTATCTGCTCTTCCTGTCTGGGCATGGACAGTTCTCTTTATCTATCCAATGGGCCAATTTAGAAATTTTATGCATCTGGAGAAAAGGGAAATAGCCAATTTCAAGATGGGTAAGAATGATCTTAAGTACACAGCAGCAGCATAGTGTTTAGTTGCCACTGGGGGTTAGGACTAAAATGATAGACCTTACCAACTTAGTACCAATCTGGACCCCAGCCCAGGGACCTCCAGGGGCCTAGGGGCAGACAGTGTCCTTTCCAGGGTCTGGTGGAAGCCAACTTTAAAAGGGTGCAAAAAGCAGAGTCTCTGCCAGGAGGAGCTGGTCCCAGGCCCTGTGGCTCCCCTGCCCCCACAGCTGGGCCGCCCGCTGCGCTGACCTGGTTGGGACAGAGACACTGCAGGGAGTAGTAAGCAAACTGGTCTCGCACGTTCACCAGGCTATTGTTGGGGTTGATGTGGTCCAGGCAGTGAGACTCAGCCTTGCCGGAGGTCTTGCAGACATACTTGCAGTTCCCAAAGAGGCAGTGGAAGTGGAACTTGTTGGCGTACTTGCAGTCTGTCGCGAGGCAAGGGTCGCTGCAAGGAAACCACAGCCCAGAAGGTCATTGGTGTTCCCAAGCCCTCCCTGCTGGTGTCCTGACTGTGCTGTGTTGGGGTTCACTCCTCTGTCACCAGTGGTACAATCAAGAGAAATGTCCCCAGATTGCCCTCCTGCTTAGCAGGACGATTCAACCAGAGACTACAGATCCCAGCATGCATCCCTGCCTCCTTTTAGGAGTTCTGCCTGGTGCACAGGGATTGCAATATGCAGGGTGCCCAGAGCGTTGCATGCTGGGACACGTAGTTTCCACGGCCACACCTCGGGATTATAGATAAGGATGGCTGCAATAACTTCTTGGAAATGAAAATAAGGGATGGTGCTGCCAGCCCTGGCAGGATGCCATCAAGGGCCTGGCTGGCATGGCATGGCACTGATTTGGATGTGGTTGACTGACAGGCTGCAGATGGGTGGGTGGCCCTACCAGGAGTGCTGCTACCAAGGACCTCAGTAAGTGGGAACGTGTGTCAGGGCCTGCTGAGGCTCACAGCTGATGGCACTCCCTAGGGTCATCTGAGGCCTATGATACCCACCTGCTCAGAGACCTAGGAGCCAGGGGAGTGGCAAGGGATGATGGGTGGGCATGGGCGGGGAGTACTGGGCCATCCCCTATGGTTGGCCTGCTTGGGAGAGCAGAGGAGTGGAGCAGGCCCCTACCTGGGAGCCCTGCTTCCCATGCTGCAGGGGGCTATCTATGGGAGGACGAGGGGCTCTAGCTTTTGACTGGCAGGCAACACTGCACTGGCCAAGGAGCGCAGCCCTGGTGGGGGCTCTGACAGCAACCAGGAAACTAGGAGGGCACCACTTCTGGGGGGGCGAGGGGGAGGGACGGAGAGGAGTCTGTCCCCTTCCAAATCACGGGCCCAGCCCCAGGTGCTCAGAGAGGGAGGACAGTTGCCACTCAGGCGGTATAAATAATCCAATTTATTACTTTTATTGAGAACAGGAAGCCGCACACATTACGATACAAAGTCACCGTTCTCGCCGCAAGGAGCCACCACCATTCAGTGAGAAAGGTCCCTTCCACCCGAGACTCAGGCCACTATGCAGGGAGTGCAGGCCTGGGAGGGGCCTAGCCCATCACACCCACCTGTGACTTCCCTGGCCCTGCAATCTCAGCAGGTTCGAGCCACTGAAGAGGCCAGCGAGGGAGACCCTCCCTGTTGGGCCAGGAGACCTGAGAATCCACTCTCAGCCCATCCCAACTGGTCCTGGGGACCACTGCTGCTACCCGCCACCCACTGGCTGCTTGGGATGGGCAGAGTGGCGGCGCAAGCACAGCATCTTTGGCTAGAAGGATGTGGCCCGGAGGCCGTTTCCCAGAGGGTGGGGACATCCAGTGTTAACTCTGCACGGTGAGGAACAGGGCCTCCTCCTGCCCTTGCCACACCCACTCCCAAGACGCTTGGGGACGGGGCGCCCGGCTCATCGAGGGACTCACTTCTCCTGGAACTGGAGGAATCCGGGTTTGACCTGGGGCTTGGCATTCTCTAGAGAAGTCGTCGCCAAGGGTGAGGCGGGCAGGTGAGGCACTGATGCGGGAATCTGAGGCATCTGGGGTATGGTGGAAGCCAGCTGCTTCCAGGCGAGCAGGGTGGGGGTGGAGGGCACCGAGGCCGGGCTGGGAGCAGGTCCTTCCAGACAGGTCCCCGGGACTGTGGTGCCAGGAGGTGCCGGAGGGGGTGAGGGTGCCAAGGAAGGTTTGGTCTCAGCAACAGAGGCCGGGAAGGAAGCCTCTGAGCTTCCTTTCACTGTTCCGCCCTCCGTCCGGAAGTGGAAGCTGGAAGGGGCAGGAGAGGTCACATCAGGTGAGGAGCTAAGAGGCCGCTGCAGCCCAGCCCCTCCCTGGCTGCCTGTGCACAGGAGCTGCAGGTGTGGTGTGACCCCATCACAAGACCAGGGCCCAGCACAGGGACCTCATGCTCAGCAAGCTCTCCGTGATCCCACCAAGACAGGAAGCCTCAGGACAACTGCTGCGCCCTAGCTCTGGGCTTGGCCCTAACTCTGTCTTCCTACCTGTGCCCTGCCTCTGCCCAGGCGGTCCCCTCCCTGGGTATATGTGTGAGAGTAGGCCCTGCCTCACGAAACTTGCTCTGACTATTCAGTAGGCTCCTGTGCAGGCCAGCGGCTGGGACAAGATGCCCACGTGGTGAGAAAGGCCTGGTGTGGGGCTCAGGGCACAGAGATCTGTCTTGAAGGCTTACAGGTTTTGAGTCAGTTACAAGTAGTGGCCGGGCTCGCTGCTTTTAAACTCCATGGCATTCACAGATTCATTTTGCTGTTCTGGGTCAAAGGGACTCAAGATGTCACAGTGGAATGGGAAAGGCCTTTGCCCTGGGTCTCTACCCCTGGGTCCACACTGAGTCTCTGGCCACTCTGCAGGGGCACCTAGGGCATGCTGCCAGCCCCACAGGTCCTGGCTTGGGAGCAGCTGGCGCTAGGGTATTGAGTGGGGCCCAGGCAGGGCTCTCTGGACACAGCTGGCTGGGGGCTGAGTGTGTGGAAGGAAGACGGGAAGCCCATCCTCCTTTGGGCACTTCCCTCCTGAGGAGCCAGCCGCTCTGTGGTCTGGTGGGAATTGCAACAGGCTGTGTGGTATCCAGCCCCGCAGAGCCCTGAGCGAGAGATGACAGGGCCCCCAGGTCCCCACTCACTTTGCATGCTTGATGGCCCCGTCCAGGGTGCTGAAGAGTGCACCACACTCCTCTACCACGCAATGGAAGTGTGCCTTGTGGAGGAAGTCACACTGGGCGTCGCAGAAGTCCTTGGTACCAAACCTAGCCAAATGAGCCAGCAGGAAGGAGGCTCCAGTTAGAGGTGGGCTGCTGCTGGCCACCAGGCAGGCTGCTGGGGCCACTGCCAGCCCTCCCTCCCTCCCTGCTCTCAGGCAGCTCCTCACCTGCGTAGGTACACTCTCCAGGGCTCTGAGAGCTTCTCCTGAACGACAGCCTTTGCAGCCTTGCCCAGGAAGGGTGAGGACTCTGCAGCAGGGCTCCCCTCTGCTTCTGTCTTGATGCTTAGCAGGCTGCCGAGGCTGGGGTTGCCCTGAGACATCTGTGAAGACAGTGGCCAAGCTCGGCTCTGGGAGCCTCAGGACAGACATGCTGCTCTGTGACCACCAGAGCACTCCGGGCAGGGAGGAGGGAATCTGTGGCCCCCCCTGGGCTCCAGCTAGAGAAGGGCCCTGCCTGGACAGCTGGGGGCCTGGCCTGAAGGCGCAGGGCCTCTCCAAGCAATCCCGTGCTGCTGGAGCCGCTGCTCTCGCTGAGGCCGCCACTCAGGGTGCGCACTGTGGCCCATCTTCCCCAGACTTCGTGGCTCCCTGGTTATTTTCCTGCCAGAAGGTTTTTCAAAGGAAGTGCAGGAGGAGGAGGGATGGGGGGAACCCCTATGAATTCTTTGAGAACAAGAGAAGGTGCACAAAGGAGGTGTGGGGAGGGAGGGACACTCATGGGGTGAGAGCAGACAGGCTCGCTGCTGGGGAGGGGGGTCAGCCCACAGGCTCCCCAGGAAGGAAGAAGGCGTGCAGTGGGCAGTGGCCAGAGGAGTGACGAGAGCAAGAGAGCAAGCAGGAGAGGAGAGGAGGTAGCAGGCTCCTGCCTGCCAAGTGCCCAGCTGGGACCCACCCCACGAGGTCCAGCCTGGGCCAGCTCCCTCTTCAGCCCCATCACTGTGTACAGTAACCAAATTAATCTTGCTGCAGTCAAGTTTATCATGTGAAGGGGAAAAATATATTTGAGATGATGTATAATTTACAAAGACCCTGCATTATTTAAAATAAATATTCCAGAGCGACCTCTCCGGAAGGCGTCCGAGACCATTACTCAACCCGAAAAGTGGAAATTGATGCTCTGCTCCCACTTTAGTCCCCCCTCCCTGACCCCTTTTTAAACAAACAAAAAATATATAAAATAAATAAATAACATTAATAACTAAGGGTGAGAGAAGTTAGAGGGCTCCGGAAAAGCTTTTGGAGCCCTCCATCTGAAGGAAAAAAAAAGGTGTCAGAGGCTGGAATATATTTCTTCAGCCAGTTCATTAAATTAATTTGTAAGCAGTGGCTCTGAAATTATATTCGATGAAAAATGGCCTCAAAATTTAAATGGTACAAACTCATCTTATTAGAGGGAAAACATTAAAAAACAAACACATCCCCCCCACCCCCCAGCACAGCTTTAATTTCTTGGGGTGGGGGAGCAGGAGGCGTGTGATGGATGGTTCTTACCTTATTCATAAGCGAGGATAAAAGAGATGAATTTGCCGGGGCTGCGTGGCCATTTGATTCATTACTAGAACACACAAACCAAGGGGCTTTCAGCTCCGACGTCCGTGGGACCAACCCAGAGGCCTACCCGCCCCCAGCCCTGCCTGCTGCAGCTGCCTGGCAGGAGGTGAGCTCTGGACAGGAGGGCGAGCTGAACCCCAGGGTCCAGCCCAGGGTGCTTGTCAAGGGCTTCTCTCTCCAGCAGCACCTCACCTGGATTCCTTTACAGTCAGGTCTAGACTGCGGTCTTGGGAGGCCTCAAGGGGGCCTGGGGTGCCAGCGCTCTCACCCGGCTCCAGCTTTACCTGGGCTGGAGGGAACCTGGCAGGGGTGGCCTGCTGCCCGCTTCCTGCAGGAGAGGGGAGGGAAGATGGGGTCAGAGGGGCCCAGGATTCACATGGGCACAAACCCTATTCCCCACAAAAGGAGGGCAGTAGCCTGGTAGGCCAGGGGTCTGGGGAGGCCTCACTGCTGGTCAGCGATTCTCCCTGCTGACGTGATCGCTTGAGACGCTTACCCCTGTGTGGCAATTCTTCAAGTGATAATTATTGCAAAATTATGTCAAAGTTGGCCTGGCTCAGGGCCTCCTGGAGAAGGGCGGGAGGCTGAGGAGGGGGCTGGGGCGGGTGCAGGGGCCCTTCGTTTTCCTCACCAACTGTCACAGTCGATTTGTGGGGCTGCCGTTTAAGCTTTTATTAAAGACTCTGTTAATGCTGAGGGAAAGTGGCAGATCTGGACAGAGCGGCCCCTCCTTGGTCCCTGGCCTGCTGTTGCCGGGGAGACAGCCTGCCTGCACTGAGCATGCCCAGAGAGGGCATCTGCTGTGTCAGGGCTACCGAGCTGACGGCCAATCAGCAAGCTGTGTGACCTCGCCCGTCAAGCTGTCCAGGGCAGGGGCTCAAGGCCTGGCCAGGATGGGTCTGAGGGGAAGCTGGGTGGGAAGACGCTGTAGGAAGCCGAGCAGATCAGGGGCAAAAGAAGCTGACAGGAAGGTGTCCACTGGGCCCAGCTCCACAATCCCCAAGTGACTGAAATATTAATCTGCCCCAAGGCGCTACAGCTGACAGGACTGCTTCAGACTGCAAGTGGCATTTTATTAAAAATACAGGAAAATGGCTCCCTCCCCTGCGCCTGACCTTTCTTTTGCGGGGGAGGGGAAGGAGACTTTTGTAGGAAAAAGAAAGTCCTTGACAGCTTGGCCACTGAGCCCAGGGTGGCCTTGGAGGGCTCAGTTCTTGGTTGGGGTTGTGGCCAGGGAGTGGAAGGTGGGGCCTCTAAACTGCCCCCTGGGATCTGAGTGCCCCACCAGGGACCTGAAAGGGTTCTCAGCCTTCAGAAGTCCACACCCCAGCAGCTCCTGAAGTCATTTACCCCCAGTCACAGGAAAACGGGCCTGGCTCCCTATCCTCCAGGGCTAGAACTCTCAAGGAGGTGTGGGCAGAGCCCCAAGCTGGGACGAAGGGACCCTCTGTCTGTCCTGGCCAGTTCCAAGATGGTCTCAAATGGGAGCAGAGTATCCGGACCTGGCAGCCAAGGTGCTGAGGACCGTCTCAACTTTGTCACTTTCAGCTGTGTATGGGGACGGGCCACCCCACTGCTCCATCAGCACCACAGGACGGGGCTGGCTTCCACTTCCTCCTGCCTGTGTGTCCCCAGCACCCACTCAGTGGTAGCCCTCGGCAGGCACCCAGCAAGCACCAAGGGTTGTTGAGTGAATGAATGAGCCACCTCCTGGACGGAGCTGAACACTTCTCAAGGGCTCAACTAAGACAAATTCCCAGATGGGGAAGCAAAGGAAGAGGAGCCAGGGAAACCAGGAGAAAGAAGGAAGCAAGGAAAGGGGGAAGGAGGGGGCCACCCTGTAGCAAGCCAGTGCCAGACCAGAAGAAGCCACTCTTGGCTCCAGGCCACACTGTCCATCAGGGAGCACTGGCCAGTGCGCCTGCTTAAATGAGTCACACTGCAACCCAGTGCCTCTTCACTCTGACCAGCTGGGCACTCCACAGCCACCTGGCTAGTGGCTGCCATGCTGAAGAGCGTGGGGTGGGTTTTCCCCATGTAAGTTCTGCTGGGGGAAAGCTGCAGAGGTGTCCCTCGGCCTGGAGGGCTGTCCAGGTATGAGGTGCAGTCACCCTGCCACTGTGTTGGACCTGTCCCCCTCCAGGTCATCTGGAGGAGACTCAAGAGGAGAAGGGGGCTTGGGACAGCTCTCCTCAGGGACTCATCTGTGATGTGGGAGGTGAGAACACAGCGAGCCAACAGAATGCAGAGGATCCCAGGAGGGAGGGCCTACTGTTCCCGCCTCAGGAGAAACAGGCGAGAACTCCCTGGGCAGGGGCCCAGGTGGGGCTCTGAGGAGGAAATACACAGGAGGGAGGCAGAGACCAGGCAGAGAGGGGCCACTGCTTGGTGCAAGACTGGAGGATGGAGATCAGACAGACGGCTCCCCCGCACCACCCTACTCTGCTCTGCAACAGGAGTGCAGGGATGGAGCCTCTGGGACCCAGAAGGTGCTTGCTTCCTGGGCAGGGCCTGGCCTGCTCACCTGGGTCAAAGGTGGCAGAGGGCTTGAGGGCAGCTGCGGCCAATCTGGCCATCATGGGTGAGATGAGGCCCTTGCTCGCAGAGATTCTCTCCATGATGGAGGCAGGGGGCACCGGGACAGAGGTGGCAGTCGCCAGGGCCGAATCTCCAGCTCCCGAAGCCACCAAGGTAGGTGTGTCGGGGGTTGCTGAGGCTGCTGCCCCAGATGACATGGCACCCAGGAGGCCAGGGGCACCCACAGGCAGGGAGGTGCTCCCACGGCCAGGAAGAAGGGGGAAGTAGGGTGCGGTGGTGGGCAGGCCCGAGTTGGAGAGGGCCAGTGCCAGGGGGATGGAGCCTGGCAGGCCCTGGGGTATCAGCCCCTGGATCTTGCTGCTAGGAGGCTTGGTGGCACTGGGCGTGCCCTCAGTGGTGGCAGCGGCAGTGGCCAGGGACGCAGAGGACTGTTGGCTGGTGGGGGAGGCGCTCAGGCTGGAGTTCTTGCTGCTCAGGGCAGAGAAGTCCACCAGGTCGTCGTTGCTGGACTCCTCGGGCTCCGTGTCCTTGGCGCCCAGCAGCGAGGGTGGCAGCCCCAGCACGCCCGAGGAGCGGACATGCCGGCGCTCGTGCTTGCGCTTGTGCGAGGTCATCTGGCTGGTGGAGGTGAAGGTGAAGCCGCAGCCGGCGCGGATGCAGTGGAAGTGGTTGGTGGCCTTGCTGTACACGCAGCCCTCGTACCTGCACTCCTCGTACTTGTAGAACTTCTTGAACCCGTCCTTGGCGTAGGCGTCGTCCTTGATGTGGTAGCTCTTGTGCTTCTCGATGTCACACTTGTTCTTGAAGGTGAACGTGCAGCCAGGACGCCTGGATGGGACATTGGGAGTCTGTCATGGGGCACACAGGGGGCAGTCCCCGTGACAGAAAACCCAGGCTGGACACCAAACCAGGGCCTTAAGCAAGTTATCCCCTGCCCCTCCTCCAGCCTGGGGTGCCGGTGGACAGCTGGCTCACCTGCAGTGGAAGTGCGTGGTCTTCTGTCCGTAGAACTGGCAGTCCGCCGTGCCGCAGTCCTCGGTGGCTCGGAAGCGCTGGAAGCCATCGTTGATGAGCTGGGTGTTCTTCTTGTGGAAGTTCTCATGGGTCATCACGTCGGACGTGCTCGTGTACACCTTGTTGCAGCCCACCTGCAGCCAGGATGGCGGGCAGCCATCTGAGTCCTGGCACAGCTGGGCCAAGGTCAGAGGGCGGCTGGGCACAGGTCTCCTCTCGGGACAGCTGACACCTCTATCCTCAAACTCCCCAGGTGTGCCTGGGCCGAGGCATAAAGCCTCCAACCAACCCCCCCCCACCCCGCCCAGGGAGCAACCGGAACCTGCCTGAGGGCCAGGCTGTCTTCAGACCACGCGGCTTCGGGCCCAGGCGAGGGAGCCATGCTCTTCAGATGCTGGGTTTTATATCCCCATCTGTGGCCCTACCTCTACAGTCCCCAGAGTTGACAGGGGCTGTGTCCTGGAGGTCACCTTAGCTCAGGGACTTGCTTAGTGGATGATTTCTGGGCATGGCCCCTCCCCCCGCACTGGGCCAGGCAGACAATGTTGCCATATTGAGTAAAAACCAGTGGCCTCTGAGCACCCTCAAAGGCTGGGCTGTGCCAGTGCCTGCACCGTCTCAGGCCCAGGGTGGCCCCCCTCCTCACACCCAGGTTGTTCCCCAGAGGCCATAACAACTCTCGACAAATATGGGGGAGGCAAGGAGGCTGCTATTTGCAACCCAAAGTCGCTCCTCCTGGGCCTGACACCTTGAAAAAGCCCAGACTCAGTGTGGCATTAAAACAAAGAATTAAACAAAAACCTCCTCAGGAATCATTTGCAATGCCGCTCTTGGTGTTAAAGCCTGAAAAATGTCGGTCTGTATAAACAGCTCACTGAATTTCCCCCACACCAAGTATGGCCACGGGGATGGCCCCGCCTCGGCCACCAGACTCTGCTCCCCACTCCCCCAGAGCCTCCCTCAGCATGCCCAGTGACTCTTGGCTCACCAGCTACCTCCACCCTGCACCCAGAGACCCTGCCCATGGCTGCTGTGGTCGGGGTTAGAGGAAGGCCTGAGCTGGGGGGCTTCAGGGCGAGGACGGGGAGGCGGGCACCTGCATGCAGTGGTAGTGGGTGCTCTTCCCGTTGAGGTGGCAGCCGTGGTAGTAGACGCTGCAGTCGTCCAGGGGGCTGAAGCGCATGAAGCCGTGCTGCAGGGAGTTGTCCCGCTTCTTGTGCATGTTGTAGTGCCGGATCACGTCCTGCTTACTCGTGAACCTCTGCCAGGAAGAGTACCAAGCTGGCAGGAGCCCTCATCCCCACCCGTGTGCCAAGACAGCCTGGGCCAGGGGCCGGCCTCAGGGCCCTCAGGTCACCTCATAAACCTAACCCCACTTGTGGTCAGGACAGCACAGACTGCCCAGCCAATTCCCTCAGCAGCAGGGATTCCAACAATCCAGAAACCATAGACCCTCCCCTGGCCTCTCCCCAGCCTCCCAACAGCCACAGCCCAAGCAGAGGATGAACAGGGTGCTCCCTCAGGGCAAGGGCTCTGACAGGTGACAGTACATTCTGCCCAATGCACCTGTGAGCAAAGCCAGGTGAGACACCCGGTGAGACCGAAGGAGCAGCCTATGCACACTGTCAATGCCACCTCTTTGATAGTTCTGCATTTGCAAGTCGTGGTCTTTACATAATGGCATTCTATCTGAACCTCAATTTCCGTTTTGAAGTGGGGCAGTGATGCCGACCTTAGAAGGCCCCGTGAAGAGTTAGCTAGCTGCGGTACACAGGCCGCCTGGAATGGGCCTTGGTCCACACTGGATTCCCGGCGAAGCTGCATGGGCATCATCACCACCAGGATGCCAATGGCTGCAGAACCTACTAGTGGCACAGGCTGGCAGTGGGTCGGTACTCTCTGCCCACCAAGTTAAGTTCAGGTGACCCATGGAGTACTAAGCACCTGGTGCCTCACTTCTAGCCAGAGCCGCTGTGCTGTGCAGTGGTGCATCTCGTACCTGGTAGTTGCACTCAGGGTCCAGGCAGTGGTAGTGCTCTCGGTACTGGTAGGCACAGTGGATGTGGCCACAGTGCTGACTGCCTGAAAACCTGAAGAGAAGAGGGGTCGGGTCAGGCCCCTTTCTGGGTGCCAGGCCCCATGAGGACTCTTCCAGGGCCTAAAGCCATCTCTGCCCAGGTTCTAGAGATGTGCTACTGGGTTTCTGTGGGCCTGGCTGGGGATACGGGGGACAGTGGTGAAGTGGAAGAGGTTTGGGAATGCCAGGGCCAGTGGCTAGGCCTGTCAGGAATCCCAGATTCCTCAAGCTGCATGCTTGCCAGCATCTTCCAGGTAGTGAGTGCCAGGTGAAGTAGAAGCCTGGCACCCAGGTGGGGAGGAAGAAGCTAGGGCAGGCCACAAGCCACAGCCAGAGTAGACACAGACCAGGGAGGTGAGGAGGAGACCTGAAGTCCCCACAACTGCCTTTCCTACAGTTAGCTGCCTGACCAACACTATGCCCAGCTCTGTCCAGGGAGGAGGCCCTGGCTGGTGCACTGGGGCTCTGTTGCTGTGAGGTGTTAAAGGGCTCTCTCCGTTCTGGGCTTTTCCTGACACTTGAAATAGTCCAGAGTTATGAATTTTTAAAGCACAGCATCTGTTTGGCTTCCTGTGGCAGGGAGCTCGCTCTCCAGCCAAGTGCACAGCTAGGAGCCCCGTGCTGCCTGCATGCTGCCTGCCTCCAGGAAACCCCAGTCGCTCTCCAGACCTGACACTGCCGGGTGTGGCTCTTACAGTCTTGGTGAGGGCCAGCCCTGGGAGAGCAAACCATGACAGTGGCAGGGAAGATGTTTCCTCGGCCTGCCTGTGCCCCTCTGTGGATGACGTGATTGCAGGAGTGGAGAGAAACCCATGCCATGTATGGGGGGACCACTTGCAAATAAATATTTAAGCTGAAGTTGCCAACAGGGCCATCTGCTGAGGCACTAATAATAATGATAGCAACAGTAATAAAGAGAAGACCAAAGAGAGCAAAGGGGGAAAGACACTGGGACAGGAGAGGCAGAGAGGATGGGAGGGACCTGGAAGAGCCCAGAACTATGCCGCCAGGGCACAGCCCCCACCATGTGCCGCCTCATCAGGCAGCAGCTGTGAGGGCCTGATGGAGGGGAATTTGCTGCCAATCCCGCTGCCTTTGGGATGGAGGGGATGGATCTGGAGTCAGGTGGTGTGAGGCCTTACCTGGGCAGCCCAGGGAGCCACACCCCTGCCCGAAACTGACAATTATGGTGGTCTGCATTCCACCTGGGGTCCACAGTGAAGGCCCGACGGAGGCCAGCTGTGGAGGGGGACCCTGAACTCATCTATGGCCGAGCCTTGCTGTGGGCTCCATCTCACACCCTGGCCCTGGAGGTAGAAGCTGCTTAAGGATCATGTGGCCTGGACCACAGCAAAGAGGCAGGTCTGAGCTGGGCTCATGGGACAGCTTCCATGGGGAGTTTAGGGAAAGAAGCAGGTGGAGGTTGGGAGGAGACAGTCTTGGCCCTAGTGGTAAGAGAGTGCAGGGATGGTCCCACAGTCCCTGGGCATTCCTGGCCCCCCACCTTCTCTCCACATAGTCTCCTCCCCAGGGGCCTACCTGGCAATATATTTCTGGTAAATGTTTACATCTTCGGTGACAGCTGGTTTATCTGTGGGCAATCCGTTCCTGGTGAGACACACGGGACACAGCCGATCAGCCGCAGGCCCAAGAGCTGGTGGGGAGCTCCCTGCCCTGGCTCTCGCCTTTCTTGCCTTGGCTGAGAGTTCCGAGACACACGGGTAGGACTAAGATAGTCCCTTGGCAGAAGCCTGGCAGAGGTTCAATTAGCCCAACTAAGGAGGGCTGGGCCACCCCAGGCAGGCAGGGCCGGAGGTCTGCACCTCAGGCCCAGGTAGGCCTAGAGTCTGTCTGGGTGGAAGGTCCCTGGAGCCAGGGCCTGACCCCCCGGCACAGAGGGAGAATCAAAAGGTGAGGGCTGAGAAGCATCAGGCATCCCAGGGAGGAAAAGGGGAAGGAAGGGCAGCACATCAGCCTCAAGTCAGGGGGCACTGCCTGCATCTGCCTGGGTTCACAGCTACCAGGGTGGAGTGCAGATAAAGGCTTTGGGATGGGTCTTGTTCAGCCTCAGGCACCCACCATATTACTGGCAGGGCCAGTGCCCTGTCCCTGAATTAAGGCTGAAAAGGCCTTCTTCTTTCTGCCTCCTCCAAGGAGGCTCTGAACCCAGGCACCAGGGCCACTGCAGAAATCCCAGCAGCCTCACCCCCAGATGGGGCTTTCTCAGCCGACCACAGCTCTGATGGCAGCAGGCAAAGGAAGCCAGTGGTGGCAACCAGGGGTTATGGCACTCGCTGGCACTCACATCAGCAGGTACGCAGTGCACACCAGCGCCTGCTGTGTGAGTGTGTGAGGCTCTGCAGCAAGGGGTGGAGGTGCAGGGCCATGAACCGTGCACGAGCTGGAAGGGCCCCCCGGAGTGAGCACACAGTGAGTGAGCACGCTGCGTGTGTGAGCATGAGCATGAGAGTCGACTGAGCCCAGGTCTGGGCGTACGAGTGGGTGTCCTGCCTCAGGGCTTGGGGTGCAGTGGGATGGGGAGTGCCTTACTTGACAGTGGAGACGGTCCCCGTGGTGATGGAGTCTGTTTTGGAGAAGGTAGACTTCAGGTACTCGGGAGTATTGAAGGACAGGGAGGCAGGTGGCTCGGGCCCCGGCCCGGGGGCACTGGGAGCAGTGGGCACACTGGCGAGGGGTGCAGGAGCCAGGCTGGGGGTGGGCGGAACCTTGGCGGGGCCTGGCTTCTGGATGCCCCGGACGTCATACTTGGAGGGGCGCCCCACCTTGCCTGTCTTGAAGGCAATGGCCCCGCCCATGTCGGGGCTGCCCTCCCCGGGTTTGAAGAGGTGCAGGTACTTGACGTTCTCCAGGTCATACTTGGACGGCTTCTTGTAGGCACTCCCATTCTGAGGGCGCAGGTTCTCACTGGTCTTCAGTTTTTGAATGAAAAAATCATACTTGGAGGCCCGGGCCACCAGGTTCTGCATTTGGACACTGCTGTGTGATGGCAGGGGCAAGATGGTGGCCTTGGTCTCCAGGTGGGTGGTGTTGCTGGGCAGCCGCAGGCCAGGCAGAGGGCCCACCATCTCCTTGCCTGCCCGCTCCTCAGCCTTGGTGCCATGGGCTGGCCAAGAGAGCTGCTCGCCGGCCTTGAGCTTGCGGATGTACTCCTCATACTTGGAGAAGCGTGCCCGCTTGCTGAGGCTTTCCTCAGAGGTGGGTAACATGGAAGAGGGGGTCGCCTCAGGGGGGGAGCCCGCATGCAGCTTCTCGAAGCTAATCTTCCTGGCCAGTTCATCCCTCGTGTTCTGGTCATCATAGCCAAACATGCCCAGGAACTCGGTCATGGTGGAGGCCGCATAGTCCCTTAGCGAGGAGGCCTCTCCTACAAGGAGGAGGGGGTGGTCACCTCTGGGAGGAATCAGGGGAGGAAGGGCCAAGAGGCCCCCCACTGCGAGCCCCCACCACAGAGAGGGGCCTGTGTGGGGAGGGGCAGAGCAGGACATGATCTATGGACATTCGGCCCACTTGTTAGGTTTTACGACTCTTAAATTAATTTGTTTTAAAAAAAAGTAATTAATACTGGGGTAAAATAAAACGAGTTCATCAATGCCAGGAAAATCAATTTCCTAAATGTTCTGGCCGATGGCTTTTCAGTACATTAAACAAAGTTTCATAAATGTCTCCGCTCTCTCGCCTTGGCCTAATATGAAAGAGAAGTCATCTTACTGGAAGGCCAAATCCCAACCTGCCTCCTGAGGTGGGGGCAGTAGTTACAGGCACAGGGACAGGTAGGGATGTGGGTGGTGACTGGACAGTCAGGAGAGATCCCAGGAGCTGAGAGAGATACTCTGGGTGGGGTTGGGGTGAACCTGGCATGGTGAACTGCCCTGAGCCCCATAAATGGATCTCGTTGGCTGATGAGGGCCTTGCCCCATGATGCCTCATGACCTGGCTTCTCAGCCTCCCCCCAACCACAGAACTGAGCAGGGCAGGGACTGTGCCAACGTGCCCACACAGACTCATGTAGGGCCCTTCCTCCAGCCAAGATGTACCACATGGAGCACACCAAGGTGGGTCACCTGGGAGAGCAAGGACCAGGGCAGGTGGGAGCAGCCAGCACTGTAGGCCCAGGGCAGCAGGCCTGGGCTGGGCACATCCATCCTCCCCACTGTCTGCACCTAGGGCACACTGAACCCTGGAGGGACCTCCCCACAGTGACACGTACACTCTCCCTCCCCCATGTTCACACCACATGCAGGCTCATGTTCACACACATGCACACACCACACTCACACATGTGCTCACACACATGGACTCACAAGCTCACGTTCGTAGCTGCTTTTCCTAACTCTGCAGATACAGCCAGCTCCCCAGGACAAGTCTTAGGCCAACATGGCCCCTTCTAATGTGCCTTCTACACACAGCCTTTCGGCCTGGCAGACAGGTGGTCTCCAATGTGTGAGAGGGTGCTCATTCTTCCACTTACGGCAGGTTGCGCCCTCCATCAGGGTTGGGCACATACTGACAAGTGAGATACACAGTCCAGGGGACACAGTGTTCTCTACTCAGCTTGAGCCTGCCCACCTGGGCACACTCAGAGTAGCAGGACCCAGACTGTGGGTCCTGACAGTACAGCTTAAGGAAGGCATGCCAGCGGGGATTCCTCCCAACCCCACCCAAACCTGCTAGGCCTGAGGTGCTCTGAGCACAAGTGGAAGGGGCAGAGGGAGTCCAAAGGAGCAGAGCGGGCAGGGCCTGGCAGGAGAGAAAACCCAGCAGAGTGAGGAAGGAGGGGTTCTCAGCTTCTGGGGAGGACTGGGAGCCCACTAGCTAAGGAGGGGAGGGTCACAGGCAGCTCCCTGGCACCCAGGCTGGGCAGAGTGACTCAAGGAACCCTCAGACAGCTGTTCCCCTGGCAGGGCAGGTGGGTCAGCCACAGTCTGGAACACCAGCCACAGAGGTTGGGGGCCTGGCCTGGGAGGAGTGGGCTCTGGCTGCTGGATACAGTGGCTCAGGGACCAGGGAAAGGGGCTAAAAATAGCTGGAGGCAGCTGAACCCTCACTATATATGGCAGGGAAACCGAAGGCTCTGAAGGGCAGGCAACTTGGAGCAGGGAGGGGGCCAGGCAGGGTCCTAGAGGCAGTTCCAGAGCCCTGCATTCCTGACCCCCAGGCCCAGAGAAGTTGGCCTGGGGAGCCAAGGCCATGGAAGGTAGCTGGGGCTCCACTGGCTCCCTAGCCACCTGGGGCTGAGGGAAGGAGAGCTCAGGCCACGAGGCGCAGGGCAGTTCGATCCCTGCCTCCTGCCTTTCCAGCTCCTCTCTCCAGGAAGGGAGGATTCAGGAGGTGAGGCCTCCTCTAGCCCCTCCACTGTGGGCAGAGCTGAGCGTAGAGAGTGTCAGAGGGACAGCAGCAAGGGCTGCTGTCCCTTCTCTCTCCTCAGGCCTAGCACAATCACCTTGTGTCTGGCAACGGCAAGGGCTTTTCCTATCAGAGGAAACTGAAGGTCACACTCTTCCTCATTGATCTTGCAATGTTTGTTAATTACTCTGTCACTGATGTGGCGAAGGATAATTAAACAGCTCTGTTTATATCTTATATGCATAATTATGTGGCTGTGCAGGGCTCCCCGCACAGGGAGGAGATGCGCCCCTCGCCGCAGGGGGGACAGGGACAGGGGAGAGGCAGGGGAGGCGTGCAGCTCCAGGCACCAACCTGGGAGGAGGCTGGGGCGAGAGTAAAGGCCAGACCTAGTTCTAGCGGGGGCCCCTCTCCTGCCATAAACCCCAGGCTGGTCCTCTCCTGAGCAGAAAGAGCTGGAGACTGCTCTAAGTCCCAAGGACACGTAGGCACTAGAGAAGCCAGGCCTTGGCCATCTCATGGGAAGAGGTCAGCAAGAGGACCATGTCGGGGTGGCTGGGTGTAAGGGGATCTTCTGGCTGGGCCTGGCCAGCCTCATGGGCCTGAGTTCCCACCTAGGAGGGCCAGGGGCAGTGACGTAGGGAAGGAGAATGCTGGGGCACAGGCAGGGGGCCAAGCCTTTTCTAGGATCCTCAGAGAAGTCTCTCGGAGTGAGAGTGCTTGCAGCTGGCAGCTCATGGGGTTCATGTTGCTGCCCCACCACAACCACTGCTCCCCACACTGGTGGCCAGGGACCTTGGTCCCCCAGAAGGCTCATTCCTATTGATTCCCACCCACCCACCATCTGTCCATTCCTCTGTGTGTCTGGCCATCCGTCCATCTGTCCCTCCACCGGTTGTTTTTTAAGGACCCTCTGTATGCTGGGCAATCCCCCCTGCCCCCTCACACTCCTGGAAAGCTGCCTTCTCTGTCCCTTTACTCTGCCCCCACCCCCAGAGTTCTCACTGGACATGATGCTGGTGCTTGGGGCAGGAATGAAGAGGAGGCAGGTGGGCACCTGGACACGTGGACCTTCCTTCCTGGGTCACCCCACAGTGTAGCACCCTTTCCCAGCCTCCACCTGCCTCTAAGGCCAGACACCCACCTGAAGCCTGCTTGATGCCGGCGCTACTATCGTCCTTTGAGGCTGCCCCATCTGAGTCCTTCTCTGGGACACTGCCATCCTTGGAGGGCTCTTCAGCATGGTCTTCCTCATCGCTGCAGCCCTGGGGCTGGACCATGTAGACACCCTCGGGAGGCAGCTCCAGGCCCTCGCGGGTGATCCGCCCCAGCATGGGTGCAGGTGCCGGTTCCTCACTGTACTCCCCGTTGACCCACTTCTCAATCACCGCCCGCCTCTTGTCTTCTTCGCTGCGTGGGGCCCGAGCCACCCCAGACTCAGGGCCACTGCGCTCTTTGTCCCGGGGCCTCAGCGGGCTGTCCTCCGCCTGGGAGCCAGCCTCTGCTCCCTTCTCCACCACCACCTGGCGACTCAGCTTGGCACAGATGGCATTGAGCTTGAGGCCGCCTTTGCGCTTGGCCGCCATGGCCGGTTTGCCTGCAGGTGGGTCAGTGCACCGGGTGCCTTCAGCTGTAGGGATGGAGGGACACAGAGATGAGGGGCCACATGCCAAGCACAGCTACCCCTGAACGACCCTGCACCCCCAAGTCAGTCTCCCCAGGTGATCACAGATCCATCATGCTGTCCTGAGGTGGCCTAGCACTGCTCATCTCCCCTCTGGACTGGGAGCTCGAGGGCTGGGCTAGCCAGTCGCTCCATCCCCAGAGCCTGCACAGTGCCTGGCATGGAGTAGGTGGTTCAAAATGGATGAAAGAAAGGCTCTTCAAATACAAGTCTTCTTCCTAGCACCTGGTTCCTGGAAGCATTTTCTAGGCTTGTTTGGCCCTAAATAGCTCCTGAGAGGTGGTATGACTTGTGTCATGCAGAACCCCAAGCACAGGCAGATGAGGGGCTGGTGGTGAGGGAAGGTGGCAAGGGAAGCACTGCACTGCTGGTGGCCTGGCTCTACCTCACCACAGGTCCCTGGGGAGGAGTCAGCTGACAACCAGCTTCTAGCCTGTGTCAACCTTTTACCCTGGCTGGCACTGTCCCCACCTGAGCATCTTATCCCCTGGCAGCACCTCTGCCAGGCCCAGTCCATAGGCCTCACCAATTCCAGTGTCTGCTCTCAGGACAGCAGAGCTCTTCTCCTTGGCTCCCAGCTACTCAGGACCACCGCCCCCCCACCTCCACCCTGACCCCCCCCCAAAAAAGCCTCTGTTTTTTCTCAGTCACCTGCCCTGTGAGGGTCTTCCTGGCCCTTCTTTCCAGCCTCACTGGGCCTCTGGCCATTTCCTATTGCTGTTCCACAGAGATCCTCGCAGCCCCTCCTACAGTCTCCATCCCAGCACCACACTCCTCCTCCTCCAATTCCTGTGGCCCACTCCTATATCCTGGGAAGGTCTGGCCGGAGCTGAGAAGTGCACTTCCTAGCCTAGGAGCCCCAGCTGGGACAGGCTTGGATTGCTTAGGTCCCTCATGGAAAGCCCAGAAACTGCAGTTAAAGGGCTTAATTTCTGATTCCCGACGTGACAGCACATAGGCAGCTAGAAACCAAACCTTGTCAGGGGACAGAGGGTCCTGAGGGCAGGTGGCCAGGAAGGCCTACAAGGCTGGACATATGCACGAATGACGCCACACATCTGTCTAGCCATCCATCCATCTAGTGTACTGCCATGTGCCACACCCCATGGTGGATCAGGGGAGTGGCCATGTGACCGTCTCAGTTCATACTCAATTTGTGCATAGGGAGGTCCCTGTCAAAGAGTGCTTCCCCAGGCCTTAGCCAGGGAAATGGGCATGTCTCATATAGGTCTGAAGGCTGGGGGCAGGAGGGCTTTGTGCCTTAGCTCCATGGATCAAACACCATGAGCCAGGAGTGGTGGTGCGTGCCTGAAATCCCGGCAGCTTGGGAGGCTGAGGCAAGAGGATTGCAAGTTCAAAACCAGCAACTTTAGCAAGGTCCCAAGCAACTCAGTGAGACCCTATCTCTAAATAAAATATAAAAAGGACCTAGGGATGTGGCTCAGTGGTTAAGTGCTCCTGGGTTTAATCCCTGCTACCAAAACAAAACAAAAGCCCACCATGAAATCCACATCCTGGAGAGCCCACAAAGAAGCCACACCTGTGTCTGCCCAAGGGCCTCATCCCACAGGTCGACCTGATTTTTATGCACAAATAATAGTCCCTTGATATATACATGCCCTGTGGCTGCAGATCCTGCCTTATCACCAGCTGCTGAATGTGTGGCCTTGCTTGGGGACTGTCAGAGAAAGGTCTGCTCAGCCAGTTCCCAGTCCTGTGGCTCTGGCTCCAGGGTCTTGGACCCTGGCCAAGCCAGATGCCCACAAACTCATGTTTGTCCACAGCTCCAAGTCTGTGCCGCTTGCACCCAAATCCCTATGTATGCACATGAGGTTCCTCTCAAAGTTCAGCTTCAGGGCCCCTAATCACAACCCCACCCAGTTCAACTGCTGGGCAGGCCAGCAGGGTCTGTGACACCACATTTCCTCCAACAGCCTCAGGGGGAGCAGCCTCACCTGGTCCTCCTTGTCCCTTGCCCTGGACGGGGAAGAAAAGAGCGGGAGTGAGGAGCCTGCTCTATTTTTACCAAGAGGTAAGCAGCCAAGTGTGTATGGCAGACGGCAAATGAATCTATAAATATTTATCCCAAGGAAGAGGGAAGCAGAAGCTCCCAAGGCTGCACTTGCTGCTAGTGACACCCCCTCCCAGGGCTCCCACCCATCCTGGAGCCTCCCTGAACTTCGGCTCACCCAACCCAGCCCACCTTCTCCCGATCTCAGCCATGTGCCCCTTCAGTCCCAGCCTGGGCCCCCACCAGCTGTGATGCAGCTGTGCACCGGGCCCACCTCCAGCCCCCAGGCCCCTTTGCTCCTGCTGACTCCCTCTACACCTGCCCTCCAGCTGCTGTTCTGACCCAGCCCACCTGCATTCCAGATGTTGCCCTCCCTCTGACTCTACTTTGGTCCCAAGGGTGGAGGTGGAGACGGCACCTGGGCCAGGGACACGGGCAAGAGGCAGAGGCAGGGCTGATGGTTGTCAGTGCCAATGTGTGCAAGGCTGGGATGGCAGGAGGAGGGCATGTATGAACTGAGGGCTGAGCTGCTGCCCTGTGCCTTCCGGCCCACCCCGTGGGGCCTTGCTGCTGGCCCCTCCATCAAAGGCCCTGGGACCTCCAGACTACCCACCCCCATGGTCTGACCCCAGACTCCTGTCCATGTAAACATTCCCCTGACTTTCTTCCCTAAAATATAAACGGCGTGGCCAGGCCTCAATGGAAGGAAGCCATCAGTCCCCGGCCCTGTCACTGCCCCTTTCATCTCCTTCCCGCCACCAGCCTGCCCGCTGCTCTATTTACACTGGACACTTCCTCTGGGAACAATACTGCCCAGGAGGCAGGCTTGGGCAGGAGGGTGGGAAGGCAAGAGGACTCCTGTTCTGCTTCCCCAGGGACCAGCAGACTGGGGGGCAGAGGCAGGAGGGGCAGCTGAGGTGGGCCCAGCAAAGCACCTACTCTGCTCCTGGCCCCAGTGGCTCTGAACCCCAGAAGGCACAGCAGGTTACAGTCTGGCCCCTGGGTCAGAGTCAGGAGCATATAGCCTGGCTCTACCCCTGGGAGCTACCGGCCCTGGCAAGCTATCTCTCACAGAAGGGCTGCCGGGCTACAAGGTGAGAAGGCGCCTCCTTGGGCCAAGCACAGGGCCTGGCAAGGAAGGACCTGGGAAAAGACAGCTGAGCCCAGGAGGAGAATGACAGGCAGATGTGGTGCCATGTCTGGCCCAAGATTCCAAGACAAGGAATTCTCACCTGGCCCAGAAGAGGGAAGAGGGAAAGGAGAGGCAGGAGGCCTGGGGCCATCCTTGCAGCCCTCTCCCTTGCGCCAGCAAATGGCCCCCTCGGCTTTCCTACAGGCCTCCAAACTCAACAAGCACTACCCATCAGTCTCTGAGCTGAGCAGACCCAACTAAGGTGCAGGAGAGAGAAGCAAAAACTGACTGTCCATCACAATCTCACCAAAGCTTCAAAAATGATCCAGTTGAGCCCTGTGCCAACCCATTTGACAGAGGAGGAAGCTAATCCTGGCTGTAGATACCTGGAGCTGAGGCTCAGCCTCATCCCCATGAAGGCTCCGAGGCAAGCTCTGGGAAGTCCCAAGCCTCCCTGCAGGGGCTCCTTCCCTCCCTTGCCCCATCTCCTCCACACCCCCACTTCCTGTTCCCATAACACAGAGCCCCCTAAAGTGTTAACTGCGATGGGTAAAATGGTGCAGCAGATTGCTACAATAAATAATTTACTGATATTTATAAATATTCAAATCAGCCAGCTTCAGAAATCGAATGAAGGGAGGGCCTTGGGAGAAGGGGCCCGTTATGGCATGAATCTCATCACTCCCTGCACAGGCTAGGGAAGGCCAGGGCTCCTGCCAGTTCTGGGTGAGAAAGGGGGGTGCCTGTAGCTGCACCTGGGCCCCTTGTCCCCACGTCTTCCTGACCTGGGAGGTAAAGGGCTGTGGGAAGCTGGAAGAACTACTCCTTCGGCACCTGGTCAGGCCAGGCCCTCTCCTGCAGGCAATCTGGGCTCAAGGGAAGAAGAGGTGTGGTGCCCGCTGCCCATGGCCCTGGGTCTTGAAGTTGCTTGTCTTGCCAGGGCAGGGGCAGTCCCAGGGGTCTGGGCAGGCCTGGCAGCCCCTCCCCACCGTGAGTAATGTGTTTCAGGGCTGGGCTGCCTGTCAGCTACCAGGCTCCGGGTGCTTTATGGGCTCTGCTTGGTGGCTCTGAACTCCCTGGTAGGAAATAAAGTTCTCCCTGCGCGTCCCTTCTAAACATTTCACTCAGTGGAAACGGTGTTTAAGAAAAATGAGGACATATTTCTTCCTAAGGATGCAGGATCCCCTTTGGGCGGCCTAATGCCCGCTGTATATCAGGAGGAAGGGAGGCAGGGGCCAGGAGCCAGTCCCCTGGGGTGGGGGTGCACCTGGCTCTGCCTGCCTACTGCCAGGCAGCTCTGGGGGCCACAGACACTGTCCGGACACCGGTGGCTGAGCTAGCCCATGGCATCTACAGGCACATGGCACCTGGTGCCTCCTGAGCACCTTGTCTGTGCCAGAAAGTATGCTGGGCACTTAGTCACCTTGGTGATCCCCCAGCATCCCTGCAGGCCAGTTGTCCTGTCCCCATTTCCAGGTGAGGCAGCAGAGGTAATGAGGTTGGCAATTGTCCCGTCAGTGCTGGAGCCAGCTCCCACCAAGTTCAGATTTCCAAGGTGCCTTCCAGGTCTTCCAAGTGGCCATCCTGGAGTCTCAGGGTGCCTAGGGGAGCTCCCATCCTGCTGCACTTGAGGATTGGAACCTCACAGACCACAAGCCCCCATTCAGTGGCACGCATGGGGCACCTACTTCCATCCAGGCTCGGGCTGAATTCTGAGGCTACGATGTGAGCAAGACAGGCAGTCCTGGGTCCTACGTCACCCTGGTTCCTACATCAGGGACTATGCAGTTCAGACAAGGCAAC